AAATAAATAAATATAACAAAAATATGTTTAATAAAAACAAGTAAAAGTATAAAAAACAGTTGGATCTTGAGCCTGCTCTTAAAAACATGAAGGTTCATCTCATCTTTGGCCCTGAGCTCCTCCTTCAGGCTGTTCCAGAGACGAGGGCCGTAGTACAGGAAAGACGCCTCTCCGTGAGTCTGTGTCCTGACTTTGGGAATGACCAGGAGCCTGACGTCTGTCTGGAACTGGAATTCTCAAAGTACTATTTTGATTTATTCACGTTTAAAAAGTTTGAGAGCTATAAAAAATCCTGTTTTCACCTACCCCCCATCTCTGATCTCCTGCATGTTGGGTTAAAAGGTCAGTCATTTTTCTATAAATGATACAGGTGGGTTTCTCAGAGCTGCAGTCGTGAACAGGAAGGACCTGTTTCTAGAGATATCAGACGTTAATACTAAAGACATGAACAAGTCTGTCCTCCAAAGATTTGCACCAAGATACTGAGATATGTTTTTTGTCACTTCACTTTACACCATCATGTCCGGACATCCTGTATGTGGCCTGCATGAGCGCTGACATCAAGATGAAAAGCCCGCCCCCCTGCAAACCTCTTAAAAGCTTTATCAAGTTCCCTCGATTTCCACTGACGCACCATGAACAAGTTCATTACAGCGGCTCTTCTTCTGACCAGCTTCAGTAAGTACCATCCAACATTTGAACACATTTATCATCACTTAAAGATAATTTACTAAACTATTTATTTTGGTTTTAGGCTGGAGCTCTTGGTCTGTCATAGTGACGGTCAAATCTGGTGAAGATGTTGTCCTGACATGCAGGAAAGTAAGAGCAGAAGTGCTTTGGGCCAGTTTGGTTAATAATGGGACCTACAGGTGCATCGCCACCACCGACGCCTCAATGTGTCCAGGAATGGAAAATAATACAAGATTTGAAATTAGTGTTGAAACTTCTCATGTCTCTCTCAAAATCCAGAGTGTCAAAATGGCTGATAGTGGTTTCTACTTTTGTGTTTTCAACCTTTTCGGAAATGGAGACGTCAATGTTGTGCAGTTAAATGTTGAAGGTAAGATTTTATTTATTTTTTTTCCTAATTCTATTTTCAAATTTGTCTTTTCTTTACATTATTTGACATCCTTGTGTGGCATTTAATCTATTTCTTAATTTAGTAACTTTAATTATGTGAAAAATTACATTCCCCAAGGATGGGATTTGGCTCCAGTGTTTTTCTTTAAACTGAGTGACTTTATAGAAAAATAAGAGTCTGTATACATCTAATAAAATGTATTATTTGTTCTCTGAAGATGTTGAAGATGATGTCATGCAAGACCCAAAAGAAAATACCGGATATGATGGTTTGGTTAAAACATGAAACAAAAATGTAATACATTGGTAAAAGGATTAACGTCTGTAAACTTTTATGTATCTTTATAGGCACTTCTGCATCATGGATAAGCTTAATACTGGGAGGTCTGTGTGTTCTTCTTGTACTTGTGATAGACGCGTTTAAAGTCAAGAAACACCAAACACGTAAGCTGCGTTTTATTTATTTATTTCATCAGTTTGTAAAATATTTATTGACAACAAACTCCATTGCAGCTCAAAGTCAAGAACCCACTGGATCCAGAGAGGTACATTTGAACTCAATATAAATTATTGTTTTATAAATTATAAAAACAGGACTCTGATCATGTTTATGACTGTTTATGCTTTTCCTTACAGGACGAGGCAACTCAGGACCTGACCTATGTCGTTTATACTGACACCAGATAAATAAAATGACATATGTGACATATTATTTGGAAGCATTTCATACGTGTTATTAGAATAGTCTGTAGCATAAAGGTCTCTGTGGTTTTGTGGTGTTTTGTGCAACACATACGCACACTTCAGTGCCGCTTTTGTCCGATGAGGTGCAGACGAAACCACAAAATCATTGTGCATCAACATAACAAGTTTACTGAAAAATAGCAACTGCAACTTTCATTAATGTTAGGGTCAGTGTTTGTACCAAAAATATATTTAAAATACACATTTGGAAAAGAATATTCTTAATTCCAACAGCCTGTCTTGACATGAGTGATGTGCATTTTACTCCTTCAGAGTAAAAGTATTCAGTTACTATATACATTTGCTTCATTGGTTTTAAAGAGGATTCAGTCCAAGTTTATTTGTTGTTAAATTGTTTGTCTGTTTATACAATAGAACACACCAGATTATTTGTTGTGATAGAAATAAAAGTGGTAAAATAATGTAACTGCTACATGACTTAATAAAAAGTGAAAAACTTTAAATTTCAGTGTTTTTATTCATTTCTAACAGAATGCAAATATAAAAATAGATTTACTCCATTTCAGTGGAATAACAGAATAAAGTGTAAAAGTGGCACCAACACTTTTCCCTCCACATTTTCCAACAGTTCAAGAGTTAAATAAAGTTGACAGGTGTAATAACACTTTTCAATTTACACTGTCAAGTCATTTTTAAAGTCTGCAGTCTGGGGAAAAGTTTCCCATCGACTTCCAGAAGAACTTTCTGCACAAAATACAAACAGCCAAAGTCAAAATGCTCTGTTCCACCTTGTGATGTCATGAATTTATAGTTTTCACATTAACAGTTTCTTTTACATTTAGTTCAGTAGAGCCTCACAATTCCTGAGCTGAAATGATCCAAATGATTCTAGTGAAGGTGTGTGGAGTTTAAAAACACAGTGGAGCACTTCCTGTAACACCACATGACATCACGAGGTGTTTTCCGCATTTGTTCATGTGTTATGTTGACTTTAGTTCAGTGGTCTTTGCGTTGGCGTCCGCAGCGTCGTAGAATCACTGATCAATTCCAAATGAAGCAGAGTTTTGGTGAATGAATTTGTTCAATAATCTTGGTCAGAGCAGCAGTTTTACTGAGTTTTCCATCCCAAACAGACCAGAGCGAGAGTCGCACCGGAGGAGACGAGCACTGGCTCCTGGTGGTAGATCTATCGTTTTTAGAGGTGAGGCCTCGGCAAAAATGATAAACAGACAGACTGTTATAAATATACATATACAGGCTTCTATATAAATAGTATAGTCGTCCACAGGCTGTAATATCTGTATAATAACTAATGTCAGAGACAGACAGACAGTTTGGTCACTGTTGGCTGAACTTTTGCTTGAATTAAAATACACTGTAGCGTCTCCCGGTAATGAATGGACAAATAGTTTACAAGTGTCGCTTTATTGTGAGAACTGAATTGGTTACTGTCGGCCGTAACCACGTCAATACAATCCGGTTAACAATCCAATAAGTCCTGCTCAAACTCAGACCACACTACTCACAGAACCAAACAAAAAAAAAGAGAGAGAAAATGAACAAGGTTTTAACAATTAACTATTGTAGGTTGCTACAATACATATAAAAAAGAAAAAGAACTCCTGAGGAGAGTTGGTGATGTCGTCCGTGTTAAGAGGCTCAAACTATTTCATCTAACACAGTGAACACAGTTTCACACTGGATTCATTCATAATTTTTCACCATTTTCTCAAACACAAGTGCAGCTCAGGTCATCACCTCAACATCAGACCAGCCTGAGGATTTCATGACTCACTGCTGCCCCCATGTGGCAGAACAGAGGACGCACTGGCCCACTGCACTTAAAGGTTGTATGGAGGATTTTTTTTTTGTTTTTTTTGTTTCAAGTTGTCAATGATAGCATTATAGAGGTGCAGTAGCCTTGTAATTATGATGACCAAAAAAAAGAGAATAAAAATTCATCAACTCTGGACGTGGTGGGGCCAGCTAAACATTTGCCAATAGATAACGACACTGCCTCGTTATCTGTTAGCTGACAGGCTATCAATCAAACTCCCTACGTTTCTAGCGTAACTGACTTGCCTGCGCCGCCGGTACGTGGTTTACGTACGCCTGTCACGCAGTCCACAGACGCAAGACGCACAGACGCTGTTTACTCCACCAACGCAACAGTTCTTAGCGGCTTTTTTTGACCTATATCTTCCTCGCAGTTAGCACAAAGTTTGTTGCAATGGCAGACAAGAATCCAGGAGCAGTTAGCCGCAAAAGAAAGTCCGTTTTTGAGGTCGCTGAAAGAAGAAGACAAGGGGAAAAGCAGCGAAGCCAAACTAAGGTGATTCTTGTAGATTCATTCCAGCGATGGCGCGACTGAAGCAGACGCAGGGTCTAAAGACTGACGCATTGGTCGCCAAATTACTCCTGGACAGGTCACTTCTGCTTATTATGAAAACGTACTTTATTTCCAAGAGCTAGTCAAACGTTTTTCAGGACACGAAAGCGATATCCTATGTCTGAAAACGTAATTTTCAAGGCAAAGAAAGAGTCCGCTTGCTGCTGCGTGTTGTAGCTAGTTCATTCGCACTGAATCTCCGCGCAACCTTCTCTGCTCCCCTTTCCTACTCCTGTCCCCGCTGCCCGTTCCGCTCTTCCCCCTTCTCCTCACTTCTACGGGCACGGAATCTCCGCGCACCGCTCCCCTCTCCTCTCTCCTCTCTCCTCTCCTCTCTCCCTGCTCCGCTCTTCTCCCTGCTCCTCACTTCTCGTCCGCGAACGAAATGTCCGCACACCCGCTCCCCCCGCTCCTCACTTCTCCGCCTTGCCTAACCAACACTGTAGTTAGTTGTTTACAAGTCATGTGCAGCTCACCGGCTGTAAACAAACCTGTTTCTGGCGTAAAGAGGAGGCGGGAGAAGGCGTTTCTACGTAGGGAGCTGTAGGGGAGGGGGGGTGGTTTCACGCATGCGCAACATTTGAAAAAGGACAAACAGTCGCTGGATTTCTCGTTCCTTGGAAAATCCTCTATACAACCTTTAAGAGCCGCTGGGTTCACAGCTTCTCATGAGGTCAACAGAGCTTCAGAACATGTTCCATTTTGATTTAACAGAAATAAAGAAGCAAAAAATGTTTAAAACCCTCAAACTGAAGTCGACCAATGACACGATGTTCTCACAGACAAAGTAAAAATACTACAGGAAAGAACATGACTGCCCCATCTCTATTTTTACACTGACTTCATCACTGGCATTTTCAAAGTTCTATTTTGATTTACAGATTTACAAATGATACAGGTGGGTTTCTCAGAGCTGCAGTCGTGAACAGGAAGGACCTGTTTCTAGAGATATCAGACGTTAATACTAAAGACATGAACAAGTCTGTCCTCCAAAGATATGCACCAAGATATGTTTTTTGTCACCTCACTTTACACCATCATGTCCGGACATCCTTTATGTGGCCTGCATGAGCGCTGACGTCAAGATGAAAAGCCCGCCCCTCTGCAAACCTCTTAAAAGCTTTATCAAGTTCCCTCGATTTCCACTGACGCACCATGAACAAGTTCATTACAGCGGCTCTTCTTCTGACCAGCTTCAGTAAGTACCATCCAACATTTGAACACATTTATCATCACTTAAAGATAATTTACTAAACTATTTATTTTGGTTTTAGGCTGGAGCTCTTGGTCTGTCGTAGTGACGGTCAAACCTGGTGAAGACGTTGTCCTGACATGCAGGAAAGTCAAAGAAGAAGTGTTTTGGACCAGTTTGGTTAATAATGGGACCTACACGTGCATCGCCACCAACAACAACGACGCCTCATTGTGTCCAGGAATGAAAAATAATGCAAGATTTCAAATTAGTGTCGACAAGTTTTTTGTCTATCTCAAAATCAAGCTTGTCAAAATGGCCGATAGTGGTTTTTACTTTTGTGTCTTTCGCATTTTCCGAAATGGAGAGGTTAATGTTGTGCAGTTAAATGTTGAAGGTAAGATTTCATTTTTTTACTAATTCTTTTTTCACATTTGTCTTTTCTTTACATTATTTGACATCCTCGTGTGGTATTTAATTCTATTTCTTAATTTAGTAACTTTTTAATTGTGTGAAAAATTACATTCCCCAAGGATGTGTTTTGGCTCCAGTGTTTTTCTTTAAACTGAGCGACTTTATAGAAAAATAAGAGTCTGTATACATCTAATAAAATGTATTATTTGTTCTCTGAAGATGTTGAAGATGATGTCGTGCAAGACCCAAAAGAAAATACCGGATGTGATGGTTTGGTTAAAACATGAGATTAAATTGTTATAAATTGCTAATACAGAAGTCAACCCAATTCTATAAACCTTTATGTATATTTATAGGCACTTCTGCATTATTAATCGGTGTAACACTTGGAGGTCTGTGTGTTGTTCTTGTACTTGTGATAGTTGTGTTTGCTCTTAAAGTCAAGAAAATCCAAACAGGTAAGCTACATTTCATTTATTTATTTCATCAGTTTGTAAAATATTTATTGACAACAAACTCCATTGCAGCTCAAAGTCAAGAACCCACTGGATCCAGAGAGGTACATTTGAACTCAATTTAAATTATTGTTTTATAAATTATAAAAACAGGACTCTGATCATATTTATGACTGTTAATCCTTTTCCTTACAGGACGAGGCAACTCAAGACCTCAACTACGCAGCCGTGAATTTCCAGCCAAAAGCAAGACACCCCAGAAGAGCCTTACAAAATGATCCACATGTGATTTACGCTGCCACCAGATAAATAAAATTACATTTGTGTTTATTTGGAAGCATTTCATTGGTGTTATTAGAATAGTCTGTAGCATAAAGGTCGCTGTGGTTTACCACAGTTTTGTGGTGTTTAGTGCAGCACATACACATGCTTCACTGCTCCTTTTTCCACTGAGGTGCAGAGTAAACCACAAAAGCATTGTGCATCAACATAACAAGTCTACTGAAAAATAGCAACTGCATTTTTCATTAATGTTAGGGTCAGTGTTGGGAAGGTTGTACCAAAAATATTTTTAGAATATACATTAGAATATACACAACGGTACAGTGATCTAGATTTAAACATCACAAGTTTAGTGTTTTCTCGGGCAGTTTGTCATTCACTCTTGTGGGTTCACATTTTAGCTTGTACTTCCGCACACTTACAGTATGTCTCAAATACAAAGAGCACATCACGTGGTCCATGTGAAAACAGATTATAACACTGAGACAGTTTAAAAGTGTCCAGTGCTGCGTTTGTCTTTGCAGATTCAGAATGACGAGCTTCTCTTCAACAGTTCTTCTCTTCAGTATCAGTGAGTCGATGTTTTATCACATTTTCACCTCCGTGGATACGATAAAATACTTTTCAGTGCTTGTATTGCTGCAGGTTTATCGTGTGTCTTGGGCTCAGAGTCGAGGTCAGTTGAAGTCCAGTCTTGGGTACTTGCTTTTTCATTGCACATTTCTGGGCCTCTGACAGTTGGCTCACTTCTCTCTTCGCCTCCTTGATTTTTTTCCATGGTGGGTATTGTATCTCATGGCTCCCATGGGTGCTCTTACAGCCCAGCACCTCTAGGATCAGTGCTGCTGAAGTGTACATCAGCTCATTGGTTTCAGTGATGGTTGTGGTTGGATCGCTCTCAGTGCTGCATTCACATCTTCTAGGAGACTTTCAGATGGTACTTCACTTAGCCTCTGTAACCGGCGTCGGAGTTGCCTTGTGTTCATTCGGGCCATGATCTTATCTTTCAGGTCAGTCGCTGTCTCGCTCAGTGTGATACTTATTGATACTTAAAATACAACAGGGAAGAATATGACCCCATCCCAATCAATCAATCAAACTAACACAACCAGACAACCCAGACACTCACACACATATTAATTAGAGCACGACTGATATGGACTTTGTTGTGGCCGATATGAAACCGATAAAATGGGAGTTGGAGCTGCCGATAGCCGATATAATGGCCGATATATTTAGTGATGTAAAAATTCACTTTAAATCTTGAATTGTTTAAAAAAAACTTAGGTTTGGCTCTGGTGGATTTTAAATTGGGTTTATTTAGGCAACATTTATTGTTATTCTGCCTCTTTAGGTCATATTACAGACAGTAGGTCAAACTAATGGCATTTTTGCATCACATTCTAGACACTAGTGATGGTTATTCCAGTTCTTTTTAGAGAACCGGCTCTTTTGGCTCGGCTCAATAAAAGCAGCCGGCTCTTTCAGCTCCCAAGCGACTCTTCAGATTGTTTTGTTGCAAGCAGGTCTAAAGCACGTCTAAAGCAGGACTGAACCAGGTCTAAACCAGGACTGAAATGGACTAAACCAGGACTAAAACAGATCTAAACCATGTGTAAAACAGGACTAAACCAAAACTGAACCAGGACTGAGTGTCGGGACTTGGTCTTTATCTCTCTCCTTCTCTCGAGCCCAAGATTAGTCCTGGTTTATTTATTTTATGCTGAACTACAGACAAACATGCACGTTTTTCTATCCTATGCACACGAAGATTTCTGAAAGTTTCGTTTTCAGCCGCTGCCGCTGTCAAACTACCAAGAGTCTGCACGCAGCATGAAGAGAAAAAAAGTGAGAGAAAGAGAAAACACGGCTCCCAATAAGGATCAGGCTCCTGTCATTCGCTTCAAAGAGCCGGTTCTAAGAGCCGCTTCGTTCACGACCGACCCATCACTACTAGCTAGTAAAGAAACTACCGCTATTAGCCTTTAGCCGTAAATGCTGCAGGCCTCGGTAATTATTTATATGCGTAAATGTCATAATTCACACGTCTTTTCACAGCTCATTTACATCAATGCAGGTCCAGTAACAAATATACGGCCAATACAGTCACTTTACAATAGACCAATAGAAAACAGTCTGTTTATGCGCGGGAGCTACAGCAGCTAATCGCTAACAAATAACCAAAACTAGCTTCAAAGTCGACATATTTCCAACACTCAGCCTCACACAGGCTCCTCCCACATCACAAGTCTGAACTAATAAATGTCCTTTTAATCCAGACTCAAACCGATTGTCCGTAAAAAGAAAATAATCTCAGTGTTTGGATCTGTGTCTGCAGGTGTAAACAAACACACGTGAGTGAAGTGACGTGACTCTGTGGTGTGTTCAGGGACAGTACGGACACACACACAGACAAATGACTCAGCAGATAAATACTGATGCGGAGTCACATATTAGGACATTTATCTGTCTGTAAATTGGATTAAATGAACAGAATGTAGAGAGTCTAAGCTTTATAACGAGGTATAACATGCCCACGTGAAATATCGACCCATATCAGCAAGTATATCGGCCGATAGCCGATATGTCTCCTGGTGCCCATATCGGCTGATAATATTGGCCAACCGATATATCGGTCGGGCTCTAATATTAATCTAAAACAGGGGTCTCTAACCTTTTTCCTCTGGTGAGCTACTTTTACAAAATCAAAATGCCAGAGAGCTACTTATTTTAGTGGACATAAGAAAGAGGGCAAGCCTTAGTTGAGGTACAGTTAAATGCCTATAAAACATAAACCATTTTCCATTTATTAGTGCACAGAGTTAGGAACCAGTGGTAATAGTCATGTAATTAATACATTTGGAGTTATTCAGCATAATACGTATAATTCAATAATCAGTGGCCCTTAGCTACTTGGAAAGGGGTGGAGAGATACTGGTAGCTCCTGAGCTACAGGTTGGAGACCCCTGACCTAAAATATTCAAGCTACACACAGTAAAACATGAGGCTGAATACAGGCAAACCAGTTCAGAAAGCACCATCAAAACAGCCGTTCACACCGGGAGTATAGAGAGCCGTCCACCAGGAACTTCCACAGGGCCCAGATGAGAGACGAGGCCCAAGGACCACCCCTCCATGAGGACAGAGGGCTCGGGGGAGACACGAGGCCCATCAGGAGCCCACAGGTCAGACCCTGGCAGCTGCAGTCGACCACTGCTCCTGGTGCAGAGGGCTCCTACACAGGAAATCCTTAAAATGATAAAGGAATATGAATTCAAAATAGATAAACTAGGGCCGGGCACGTTAACACGTTAACTTTGCATTAACTAATTAAGTAATTAACGCCGACAATTATTTTAACGCCGTTAACGCAGTTTTTATTATTTATTTATTTCAGCCGCGGGCACCGGCTCTGAGCTGAGCTTATTTCTTTAGTTCAGTGCTGGAGTAACTGATTTACCCAGATACCATTGGAAGAAAAAATGTGATTGGTCCATTTCCATTCCATTATATTAACCCTTTGTTTCCTAAGAAATATCAGTCCAAGTTTATAACACTGATCTAGAAATTATTATTAGTGTAGTGTTCATTACTCACAGCATAAAAAATATTCAGTAAATATATTAGTAGTACAAATGTCCATTCAATATTTTTTCTTGAGCCTTCCTTGAATACCGTGAAGGCTCTGAGGTTCCCCTGTGAAAGAAATGCTGTTTGCACAAAAAATGTATGGCTCTTTCATTTACATTTCCAATAAAAGAGCGCTATACTCTATTTTTTAATTCATTAATTGGTTTTGTGTATAACATGCGATTAATCGCGATTAATCGCTCGAACTCATGCGATTAATCGCGATTAAACTTTTTTATTTTTGCCCAGCCCTAAAATAAATATAACAAAATATGTTTATTAAAAACAAGTTGAAGTATAAAAAAAACAGTTGGGTCTTGAGCCTGTTCGTAAAAACATGAACGTTCATCTCATCTTTGGCCCTGAGGCTGTTCCAGAGACGAGGGTCGTAGTACCGGAAAGACGCCTCTCCGTGAGTCTGTGTTCTGACTTTGGGAATGACCAAGAGCCTGACGTCTCTGTCTTTAAAGTGGACGTGTTGGTGTTCCTCATCACTGACATTCTCAAAGTAATATTTTGATTTATTCACATGTTTAAAAAGTTTGAAAGCTGTACCCCCCCATCTCTGATCTCCTGCATGTTGGGTTAAAAGGTCAGTCATTTTTCTATAAATGATACAGGTGGGTTTCTCAGAGCTGCAGTCGTGAACAGGAAGGACCTGTTTCTAGAGATATCAGACTTTAATACTAAAGACATGAAAAAGTCTGTCCTCCAAAGATTTGTATCGAGATACTGAGATATGTTTTTAGTCACCTCACTTTACACCATCATGCCCGGACATCCTTTATGTGGCCTGCATGAGCGCTGACATCAAGATGAAAAGCCCGCCCCTCTGCAAACCTCTTAAAAGCTTTATCAAGTTCCCTCGATTTCCACTGACGCACCATGAACAAGTTCATTACAGCGGCTCTTCTTCTGACCAGCTTCAGTAAGTACCATCCAACATTTGAACACATTTATCATCACTTAAAGATAATTTACTAAACTATTCATTTTGGTTTTAGGCTGGAGCTCTTGGTCTGTCGTAGTGACGGTCAAACCTGGTGAAGACGCAGTCTTGAAATGCAGGAAAGTCCAAGGAGACGTGTTTTGGGCCAGTTTGGTTAATAATGGGAAATACAAGTGCATCGCCACCAACAAGGCCTCATTGTGTCCAGGAATGAAAAATAATACAAGATTTGAAATTAGTTTAGAAAATTCTTTTGTCTCTCTCAAAATCAAGAGTGTCAAAATGGCCGATAGTGGTTTCTACTTTTGTGTCTTTACACTCTTCGGAAATGGAGAGGTTAATGTTGTGCAGTTAAATGTTACAGGTAAGATTTCATTTTTTTTACTAATCCTATTTTCACATTTGTCTTTTCTTTACATTATTTGACATCCTTGTGTGGTATTTAATTCTATTTCTTAATTTAGTAACTTTTTAATTATGTGAAAAATTACATTCCCCAAGGATGGGATTTGGCTCCAATGTTTTTCTTTAAACTGAGCGACTTTATAGAAAAATAAGAGTCTGTATACATCTAACAAAATGTATTATTTGTTCTCTGAAGATGACGCCGTGCAAGACCCAAAAGAAAATACCGGATGTGATGGTTTGGTTAAAACATGAGATTAAATTGTTATAAATTGCTAATACAGAAGTCAACCCAATTCTATAAACCTTTATGTATATTTATAGGCATTTCTGCATTATGGGTCGGTGTAACACTTGGAGGTCTGTGTGTTGTTCTTGTACTTGTGATAGTTGTGTTTGCTCTTAAAGTCAAGAAAATGCAAACAGGTAAGCTACATTTAACTTATTTATTTCATCAGTTTGTAAAATATTTATTGACAACAAACTCCATTGCAGCTCAAAGTCAAGAACCCACTGGATCCAGAGAGGTACATTTGAACTCAATTTAAATTATTGTTTTATAAATTATAAAAACAGGACTCTGATCATATTTATGACTGTTTATGCTTCACCTCCCAGAACGAAGCAACTCAAGACCTCAACTACGCAGCCGTGAATTTCCAGCCAAAAACAAGACACCCCAGAAGAGCCTTACAAAATGATCCACATGTGATTTACGCTGCCACAAGATAAATAAAATAAGATATGTGTTTACTTAAAAGGTGTTATTTTATAAGTGTTATTAGAATTGCCTGTAGCATAAAGGATACTGTGGTGAACCAGTGGAGTTTTGTGCAACACATATGCATGTTTCACAGCTCCGTTTTTCCATTGAGGTGCAGACAAAACCACAAACACATTGTGCATCAACACAGCAAGTCTATTTTTAAAATAGCAACTGCAGTTTTCTTTTTTGTTTTTATTGGGCAGCAACTGCAGTTTTCACGAATGTTACGGTCAGTGTTTGTACCAAAAATATATTCAGAATGTACATTTGGAAAAGTCCTTTATTTTCCCAAAATCAAAATGAATACTTGGCAATTCTTTATCAAGCAATTTTATATTTAAAGAGTCTGGATTAAGATGAGTGCATGTGCATTTAACCGTCAGAAAGCAGTATTCTCCTCAGGCCACGCAACAGACCAAGTTGGAAAATACATTTCAATTAGTGTTGGGCATTCGATTCAATTTTCGATCGTCGGGAGAATGAACTAATGATTTTCGCTTAATCATTTACGTTTTATATTAAAATTATCATCATCATTATTACTGTTACTAATCTGCATAAATAAACTCAACTTTACAACATATAAACCAAAACCACTCTAGAGCCACATCGTTGAGATTATAATGTGTTTAATGCAGCTTTGACACATTTGTTTATGTTTTACAGAAATGAAACTTAAAACCGCATGGCTCATTTGCATAAACTACTAGCGCTGCTCTTAGCTCTTAGCATAGCTTTTATTTGACATTATCTCACTCACTTTATTTATTTATTTTGCTTCTGTTGTGATGAAAAGACTGAAAAGTGTTTGTCTTTAGGACGCATGTGCACTCTACTTTATGTCGCAGTAACCGGGATACTGCGTTTACGAGCACCGTGACGAAACCGGGACACTCCAAAAAAAACAAAAAAACAAACTCATACTCGGGACACTGATGTGCTGTAAACACACTCAATGGTACAGTGATTACCAAAGAGCCAGAGCCCAAACGTGGGACTGTGACGCAGCCTCATCTCCTCACGCTACACACAGAAACCTACAATTTTTAGATTAAAAATGATCGACAAAATTCTTAACGATCAATGTAAATAACCTATAGTATAATTTGTCTTGGTTAAAACCTTTTATGACATTTTTAATCATTATGTTTAGTGGTTTTATTTTGAAGGGTTTGTTTTTGTACCGAGGTCGGGTCGCGGGGGCAACAGTCTGAGGAGGGCCTCCCAGACTTCCCTCTCCACACACACGTCCTCCAGCTCTTCCAGGGGGATCCCGAGACGTTCCCATGCCAGCCGAGAGACATAGTCCCTCCAGCGTATCCTGGGTCTTCCCCGGGGCCTCCTCCCAGTGGGACATGCACAGAACCGAGGGAGGCGTCCAGGAGGCATCCGAAACAGATGCCCAAGCCACCTCAACTGGTTTCTCTCAACATGGAGGAGCAGCGGCTCTACTCCGAGCTCCTCCCGTGTGACTGAGCTCCTCACCCTATCTCTAAGGGAGCGCCCAGCCACCCTGCGGAGGAAACTCATTTCGACCGCTTGTATCCGCGATCTTGTCCTTTCGGTCATTACCCAAAGCTCATGACCAGAGGTGAGGGTAGGAACGTAGACTGACGGTAAATCGAGAGCTTCGCCTTTTGACTCAGCTCCCTCTTCACCACAACGGTCCGATACAGCACCCGACCTTGGATAAGCGGAAGAAAATGGATGGATGGATGTTTTTGTACCTTGGTATTTTCTATTTGTTTAGCTTCAAATCTGAAGAGGCATAAAGCTCTTACGGTACACTGGAGGATTTATTGCCATTAAATCTAAAAGTCGCCAGTTCAAGTGTCAGTGTTCATTCAGAGGGTACGCAACAATCAGCATTGGTAAAGTTACTTTTAAAATGTATTCCCCTACAGAATACAGATTACAGACCCCAAAATGTAGTTTTTAATGTAATTCATTAAATTACTTAAAGTGAGTAATGTAATCTGAATACTTTGGATTACTTGATTTGCTGTAGAGAAGTAAAGACGAGGAAATCTTCACATAAGAAGTTCTGTCTGCTAAAAGAAAATAAAAAAGCCCAGACTTTACTTAAAATATTACTGACAGCAGAAGAGACATGGTCCACGCAGCATGATTTAGTCCTGTTAAATCCTGGTGTAGACCTGGTTTAGACCTGGTTTAGTCCTAGTTTAGTCCTGGTTTAGACCTGGTTTGGACCTGGTTTAGTCCTGGTTTGGTCCTGGTTTAGTCCTGGTTTAGACCTGGTTTAGTCCTAGTTTAGTCCTGGTTTAGACCTGGTTTAGTCCTAGTTTAGTCCTGGTTTTAGTCCTGTTTAGTCCTGGTTTAGTCCTGGTTTAGTCCTGGTTTAGTCCTGGTTTTAGTCCTGGTTTTAGTCCTGGTTTAGTCCTGGTTTAGTCCTGGTTTAGTCCTAGTTTAGTCCTGGTTTAGACCTGGTTTGGACCTGGTTTAGTCCTGGTTTGGTCCTGGTTTTAGTCCTGGTTTTAGTCCTGGTTTAGACCTGGTTTAGTCCTGGTTTAGACCTGTTTTAGTCCTGTTTTAGACCTGTTTTAGTCCTGGTTTAAGTCCTGGTTTAGTCCTGGTTTAGACCTGGTTTTAGTCCTGGTTTTAGTCCTGGTTTAAGTCCTGGTTTAGTTCTGGTTTAGACCTGGTTTAGAACTTTAGACCTGGGTTTAGAACTGGAAACAGGAAAATATCGCCATGTAATCCATTTATTTCAACAAAGTAACTGTAATCCAATTACCACTCACTGAAACAGTAACTGTAACTGAATACAGTTACTCATAATTTGTACTCTGATTACATAACTCCAGTACATGTAATCTGTTACTCCCCAACACTGGCTACAATCTAGCGATTAGTCAACAAATCATGGCCAAGCCTAATTTCAATTCAAGTATTGAATTACTGTTTTCATTTTAAACCCACTTCTCTCATCATTGGTTTATGCACCAAATAAAACTCTGCTCATCATCATCATAATGCGCTTCAACATGCTACAAAAAATATTCTGTGTGCTGAAGTATAGTGACCGAGTACCACAATAATGAATACAAAGAATGTATTGGAATAATTTTATTAATGTCCGTGGCACAAAAACTTTCAACACTGTTCCCTGTTTAAACAATGACAAAAGGTAATACATAAGAAATCTGCATGCACATCTTATGTTCAGGGCTAGAAACTTAGGACTGAAGATCTTTGAATGAGATGAAGTTATAAAATGTGGCCAGTACATGAATCATTACATGTCCTTCTCTTTTACTTACCTGAAAATTCCAGATTCTCAAAGCCTCCAGTTTCATGAGACTCCTTTACCCAAACTGCAGATAAACTGTGTGTGTGTGTTTTACCACGGGCAGAAAGCTGATCATAACTTCAGCTGGTGATTGATGCATGAACTTTAAAGTCAGGACGGCTCGACAAAACGCTTGATTTTCAAATCACAATTTTACTGCAGCCAACAGAATATCCAAGCATTTTTATGGAAATATAATCGTCATGATTAAACAGTAGGATGTGATTAGCGGGAACGTCTTAACACCTTCGTTTTTTTTCCAAAAAGTTACGCGTTTACAACCAAATGAACGCTTTTTAACGTGCAAATTCATTGGTATTATTAAAGAGGATTCAGTCCAACTTTATATACTGTTACACTGGTCGCCTATTTATACAGTAGTAGACACTAGCTATTTCGTTGTGATAAAAATAAAAGCGACAACATGAGGCAGGTATTAAAATACTACAACACATTGAAAAACTAAAAGACTTGAAGCGAAAACCTAAAAAAACAATTCCTAAATAAAAATAACATGAACGTCCACAATTCACTTCCTGTACGTCAGCGATAACGCGCTGCGCCGCACAAATGGGTAGATTTTAGTCGCGTACATCAAGGGGACGAGCGCCGACGCAGTCGAGAGACGGCGATCCTGAAAAAAAGAGCAAACCACAAAAATGTGTAAATATTGCGACCAGAGCGCCGATGCATGTGTACTTCAACGAGAGAAAGAGCACGACTTCTGGATGGCGCATAAGGACGCATCCCCTGGGTTCCTGCCTAAGTAGAAAACGCAGGGTTATAGTAGTTCCGTGGCTCAGGCCTCTCACCTTGGTTAATAAGCATATCGAGCAGCGGGCGGCGGGGGCAGTTCGGCGTAGGGGTCCCTGTTGTATCCGGGGGCAATGCGGGAGCGATCGTAGCTGTAGCCGTTAGATGAAGGCGGGACGGGGGCAGTGGGCGGGCGTCTGATGGGACTGCGATCTCGGGGGTAGTATGACGACGGAGGCGGCGGAAGTGGCCGACGCTCGTACGGGTCTCGGGCGACGGGAGCGGGCGGCGGCGGGGGAGGAATGGGTGCTCGCTGGTCATCATACCCTGAGCCGTAGGGGCGCGCTCTGTACTTCTCATAGTAATCTACCACACTGTTGTACCTATCCCTCTCATTGTCGTAGGGACGCTCGGCGTAAAGGGGCCGCCTGGGGGGAGGAGGTGGCAGCGGGGGAGGTGGGGGGTAACTCGGGGGGCCATAGCGGCCTCTCATGTAAGGTGGGGGCATATCAGGCCTGTCTGGATAACGTGAAGGCCAGTAGTCAGGAGGTGGAGGAGGGGGGTAATCGTCAGGCCCTTCGTGTCGCGGTCGGCTCTTGGAAATCTGCACGTGGATGTGTTTGCCTGTCGACACAACGCACAGTTAGGCACGATGGACATTCATGTTCATATCCAAAATCTTTCATACCGGCTCTCACCTTGGAATTCTGTGTTGTCCAGATCCTTCAGCGCATCCATTGCCTCATCGTAATTGGGCATGTGTACAAAAGCAAAATTTTTGACGACGGCACACTCCGAAACCGTGCCATACTCCTCAAAAAGGGCGAGGAGCTCATCGTCACATCCCTTTTCTACGTTGGCCACGTGCAGTTTGACTGGACCCTGGTTCTTGCCGTGGCTGGCCTCCACGTTCATGGGCGTGCCGTGCAGAACGTAATGATGCAGGTTCTTGATGGCTTTTGTGGCAGCTTTGCGGTCATCCATGTGAACAAACGCGAAGTTCTTGATGATGGAACACTCCATGACGCTGCCGTACTGCTCGAAGAGTTCTTTGAGCTCATCCTGGGTCGCCTCCGTGGACAGGTTTCCCACAAATATCTTCACCATGTTGACCTGTCTGCAGAGAAAAACAGAAACGATAAGTTAACTGGAACAACTGGAACCCATCATTATTAAAAATGTATTTATTGCTCATGCTTTTATTTTGTTGGCATCAATTTAAAGAGAACAACAACAAAAATCTAACAATTAACAGAAATACATATTAAAACCATTATTTGCCTCATCTTTGCCGCATGAACAATAGAAACAGAAAGAAGATAAACCTTATAAACCCTGCCACCAATGAGCCATATTAATTATTAACTTAAAACACTTTCCTTAGTCACATAGTCCAACATTATTTTAAAATGGATCAAAGATTTCAAGGCATCAACTTCAATTATGTAGTTTAAATATGAAATATGTAGAAGGCAGCAATCTACAGCAGGAACAGCTCATGTCGACGTCCAATAAAAGTTAAAATACACTGATATTATGATGTAAGTGGGTGTCAAGAAAACCTAGATTAGATATAGATGTATATTTAGTGTGACCAGACGTCCTTATTTACCGGGACAGTCCTGGTTTTGCGCCTTGTGTCCCCTGTCCCTGCCGAGCTATAAAAAAACAATGATTTGTCCCAGTTTTATACAAGAAATGTCCCTTTTTGACCAGTTTTATACAGTAAAGATAACAATACATTGAGATTTGTTTAAGTAAAATACAGACGATTTGCATACATCTCCTATTAGACTGTATAGTTTGCTTAGTGTGATCAGGCATAAATTGTTTAGGTTTTTTGTTTTAGGTTTACAACTGTACTGACTCGTGAATAGGTCACGAATGGGCCGAGCGCAGAACAATTTTCTTTAATTACGCACTTGTATCCAGTGTTGGGAAGGTGACTTTTGAAACGTATTCCCCTACAGATTACACACCTCAAAATGGAGTTCATAATGTAATCCATTAAATTACTTAAAGTGAGTAATGTAATCTGAATACTCTGGATTACTTGATTTGCTGTAGAGAAGCAAAGACGAGGATATCGTAATATAAGATGTTTTGTCTGTTAAAAAAAATAAAAAGCCCAGACTTTACTTAACTGTATAAAAAATATTATTGATAGAAGACGAGGAGACACGGTCCGCGCAACATGGTTTAGTCCTGGTTTAGTCCTGGTTTAGTCCTGGTTTAGTCCTGGTTTAGTCCTGGTTTTAGACCTGGTTTTAGACCTGGTTTAGATCTAGTTTAGACCTGGTTTTAGACCTGGTTTAGATCTAGTTTAGACCTGGTTTTGTTTCTGAAAATGAGTGGAATTAATAAAAAAAAAAAAAAAAGGCAGGGGAGGGGTTTAGCCCAAAACGCGAAAACAGCAAAATACCTCTGTGTAATCCATTTATTTCAACAAAGTAACTGTAATCCAATTACCACTCACTGAAACAGTAACTGTAACTGAATACAGTTACTCATAATTTGTACTCTGATTACATAACTCCGGTACATGTACATCTGTTACTCCCCAACACCGCTTGTATCAATATTTTATTATTACCATTCACGACAAACCCGGGGGTGTCCCAGATTCAATTTTTTTCCTAATATAAATATGAAAAAAATGTGCAAAAGATTAAAGCGGGTGAACGTGAGCGGCGAGGGGAGGGCTCGGCTTGAATAACGCAAAATGGCGGAGGTTCATTTAGACGAACGCGTTAAATAATCCCCCCAAAAACACAACGTTAAATGTGCACACAAACAGAGTAACTTAAAACACATTATTTAGAGTCTACGTAAAATAAATAGACGAAAACCGACCAAAAGTTCTGTAATTCGTGCTGAATGAGCGATTACGAGCGGCTTCGAGAAGATCCGGGGTCAGACAAAAGCGCACGAGCTCCGACGCTTTTACCGAAGATTAAAACCCTCCGCCGCCGCGCACGTGAACGCTTTACACCAAAACAACCACATTCTACACATTTTAGATTTACGTAACACCGAGAAAAGACTTTTAATCACCTAAACGAACCAGTCCGTCTGCAGAATGTAGGTTACTGAGGCCTTCCGTCGTCCGCCGGCTGCCGCTCCTTTGTGTGAACTGTGGACTGAGACCGAACTGCACATCCGGTCAGCATGAGTATTACTGCGCCCCCTACTGGCCAGAGAAAACAGAGCCAGGCGTTGGGCAGCTACTGCGCATGCGTACGACCCCCCAAATGCTTTTAAGAGTTCAAACGCCGTCGATTTGAGCAAACAAAATAAAAAAAAAGTTGTTAAAACATGTAATATTAAAAAAATTAATAAATAAATAAAAAAAAAAAATAATTTAAAAAAAATAAAATAAAATTAAGAAAAATAAATAATTTTTTTTTTTTTTTAAAGAAAAAAAGAAAAATAAAGAAATAAAGAAAAATAAAGAAATAAATAACACAATTTTCAAAAGCATGTAATATCTATAAGAAAATTTATAAGAACATCACTCTCCTCTACATCATGATACAATTCTTTAATTTATCATTTATATTTAGTTTATGGTATTATCTTGATTTCTTTGTTTTGTTTTGTTGTTTTTTTGTTTGTTTTTGTTTTCCTTCTTCTGCCCTCCTGTATAATCAACTACAAACCACCCCCGTACTGTATATATATTGTCAATATGACAGTATGTATTTGAAGATATTGAAAATTAATTAATTAATAAAAATAAAATAAAAAACGAGGAGTGGAGTAACAAGTCACATTTTAAAAGTGTATTGGTTTTATTGTCTGTTTTTATGAGTTAAGCATTGACGTGTGCTTTAGATGATTGAATAGTTTGGATTTATTTGTTTTTATCATTATCATTTTCATTACACCATATTTTATTTTAATTCCATGTGTAAAAACATTGTAACTTTGTTTAGAAAGCCGCTGTATAAATAAAATATCACCATATTATAATAGGAAATTCACACTGCATCAGCTTATGTGTAATGTTCTGATCAGCAGTGGGACAAAAAAATTAAGGGATGAAAAAAATTAATTAATAAATAAAAGAGGCTACAGGTACAAACATAAACTTTAGTGTTTTAGTACTCGAGACCGGTCTTTGTCTCGAGACTTAATTTTTTTAATTTATTTTTATTTATTTATTTTATTTTTTTCATTTTATTATTTATTTATTTTCTTTTATTTTTTTTTTTTATTTTTTTTTCTTGAGGTCTTGGTCTTGACTCAGCTCAGTCTTGAAGGCACTTGGACTCTGTATTATCTTGATCTCGAGGTCTGATACTCGACAAGTGATAAAATGGAGATAGATTTATAATAACATTGATATTTAACCCCGGATAAGCGGAAGAAAATGGATGGATTAATATATATTTGCCCAAATAAGTGTAAAATACAGATAAATGTAAAAAATAAAAAAATAAAAAGGCAAAAATGGTCTCGATTTGGTCTCGATGGGCTGTGGACTCGGTCTTGTCTCGGACTCGACCTTCAGAGGTCTTGATCTGGTCTTGGACAGGCCTTGGTCTGGATTGGTGCGGTTTTGACAACAACACCAATAAACCTTGACAAGATTAACTTCTACAGTGGTCAATAAAAACAGTTTTATTGGAGAGACTTTTATAAGGTTATTTGTGTTTTATTTAAACAACAATAAAATAAATTCTTCTGAGTTAATAGATAACAGCAAGATGACACCTCGTTGCTTCATGGGAAACTTGCCGGGAATTCCCGTCGATAGAATGCTGCATTTACTGTCCTCTCGTAAAAATAAACGTTTATAATAAAAACTTGACATAACAGGAATCCAGACTTACATTTATAAACCTACAAATTTGGTGTACATCTAATTATTTAAGTTGGCTGAAATGGATTGAAAGTAGCGCAAGAATATTTGTTTTTAATGTATCACTATGCGTTTGTGATACGGCATGTGATTGAAAAAATGCTTTAAAATATATTTTTAAAAACGGACCAGCCCCATTGATTAGATTCTAGTTTATATTTAAGTAAAGCTGTATTCCCCCAAAAACAGGACTTGAAACAGGCGTGTCCTATTAAATTATTTGAGGCTGAACTTGACGAAATCGTGGAACTTCCCAGTGAAAGTGAAAGCAGCGCGGTAGGTCTTGTGAGTCTGACGAAAGGGGGTTGAGCTCGTGCTTTTTCTTGCACACAACTCTTTTTATTTTCAGTATCGCAAGAAGGCACCGTTAGTTTCCACAAAAACAAGAAGTTGTGGTTCCGATTCAGCTTCGAGAAACTACTTTCCAGGTAAGAAAAACGCCCCTAGATCTTTTAATTTACTTAGTTTACATGCTGCAAAAGTGTACTGTACTGTGCTGTAACTTTTGACAAATATTCTGGGGTTTAAAGAGTTTTTTTTCTTTCACGTCAGAGGGATCCCATCATGAACGTGTCCCAAACCCTGGAGACCGAGGAAGACCTTCTGACAAGTCTTCAGATAAAGCTGTACCACCCCCAGCAGTGCTCAAAGGGCATGTTCAGTCTTCTAACTTTGGGCAGAAGGATCAGGCAGGACGCTGACGACCCCCTCCGGATGGGACGGGACGGACAGACTTGCATCTTCGCCCTGGCCGACCAAAAAGTGTCCCGAAAGCAGCTGTCCCTCCAGGCGTACCGCACCCCTCAGAAGCAGGGCATGTTCTTCACCGTCCAGAACTTGAGCAAGAAAGGGCGCCTGGTCGTGAACGGGACCGGGCTCGAGTACCTGGAGAGGCTGGATCTGCCGGACAAGGCCCTGGTGCGCTTCGGGGAGTACGAGATGCTGATCGTGAGGGAGTCCGGAGAGGCGAAGGGCAGTTTTGAGGTGCAACTGGATGTGCTGGAAGTGTCTCCTTTTACGGAAACCTGTGTTTGCATCCCGACCACGAACCCGGTTATGGACACTGGTTCTGACTATACGCGTGGCCTCATGTCCCGGGAGCCTTCGGAGTGCGACGAGACCCTGCCATACCTCACGTAATGGCAAAGTTTGGATTTTTTTGGAGGGGGGCGGATACTGTTACATCTTTCAAACATTCATTTATTTTTGTGATCAAAGTGTTATTATTTGCAGTTATACATATTCCAAGTAGCATTGCATTTTTCTTTTTAAACCCCACACCCTTAAACTCCCTGTTGATGAGAATCTGCAGTAAAATACATACACATAAACACATATATAGTACACACATATATAAACAGTGTTGGGAAGGTGACTTTTAAAATGTAATCCCCTACAGATTACAGATTACACACCCCAAAATGTAATTTGTAACGTAATCCATTATGTTACTTAAGGTGAGTAATGTAATCTGAATACTTTGGATTACTTGATTTGCTGTAGAGAAACAAAGACGAGGAAATCTTCACATAAGATGTTTTGTCTGATAAAAGAAAATAAAAAGACCAGACTTTACTGAACCAAATTAAAAATATTATTGATAGAAGAAGAAGAGACATGGTCCGCGCGACATGATTTAGTCCTGTTAAATTCTGTTTTAGTCCTGGTTTTAGTCCTGGATTAGTCCTGGTTTAGACCTGGTTTAGTCCTTCTTTAGACCTGGTTTAGACCTGTTTTTAGTCCTGCTTTAGACCTGTTTTTAGTCCTGGTTTAGTTCTGGTTTAGTCCTGGTTTAGACCTGGTTTTAGACCTGGTTTAGACCTGGTTTAGTCCTGGTTTAGACCTGGATTTAGACCTGGTTTAGATCTAGTTTTAGTCCTGGTTTATACCTGGTTTAGTCCTGGTTTAGACCTAGTTTAGTTCTGGTTTAGACCTCTTTTAGTCCTGGTTTAGATCTCATTTAGATCTAGTTTAGACCTGGTTTTAGTCCTTGTTTAGTCCTGGTTTAAGACCTGGTTTAGTCCTGGTTTAGACCTGGTTTTAGACATGATTTAGTGTCTGGTAATGAGCGGAATTACCGAAAAAAGTCAAGCCCAAAATTATTCATACCTCTGACAAATTTTGATTTAAAGTGACTTTTATTCAGCCAGCAAGTGTTTTCTTGATTGGGAATGACACAGACGTCTCCCAGGAGATAATAAGATGATGTACAAGAGGCAACATTGTAGAAAAAAAAAAAAATTCCAGGAAAAGTCCAGAATTATTCATACCCATTCCTGACTTGTGAGCGGCCACAATACGCAGCCTTAGATCCCCAGGGAGCTGCTTTGTCTTAGTCATGACTGTTTGCAAACCAACCACAAAGACCTGTTGTCTTTCACCTGCTCAGTTGCTTAAAACAGCTCTTCCCGAATGAATCAGGGGAATTAGGAAGTTTAAGAACAGCTTGGGCTCTTTGGAATAGTATAGAACTTTGGATTTTACCATAAACTCTGACAGTTTACAAAGGGTATGAATAATTTTGGACACGCCACTTTTTCTTCAAATGTAAACAAAAGATGAGAATTTTTAACTCTTTTTTCCCACAATGACGCCTCTTGTACATCATGTTATTATCTCCTGTGTCATTTCCAATCAAATTTCCTCCGTCAAAAGACAACAGCAGAAATTGTGTTATACTTATTATGTACCAAACATAGAAAGTTGACAAAGAGTAAACAGATTTTGAACATTCTAAGAACATATATTATAATGAAAAATCTCCAGGTAACAACTATACGATAGACAATGTTGGGAAGGTGACTTTTAAAATGTATTCCCCTACAGATTACATACACCAAAATGTAGTTTGTAATGTAATCCATTAAATTACTTAAAGTGAGTAATGTAATCTGAATACTTTGGATTACTTGATTTGCTGTAGAGAAACAAAGACTTGGATATCGTAACATAAGATGTTTTGTCTGATAAAAGAAAATTAAAAGCCCAGACTTTACTGAACCAAATTAAAAAATATTATTGATAGAAGACGAGGAAACACAGTCCCGCACAGCATGATTTAGTCCTGTTAAATCCTGTTTTAGACCTGGTTTAGTCCTAGTTTTGACCTGGTTTTAGACCTGGTTTAGTCCTGCTTTAGTCCTGCTTTAGTCCTGGTTTAGACCTGGTTTAGACCTGGTTTTAGACCTGGTGTAGACCTGGTTTAGTCCTGGTTTAGACCTGGTTTAGTGTCCGGCAATGAGTGGAATTACCAAACAAAACAAAAAAACAACAAAAAAAGGGAATAGCCCAAAATGTGAAAACAGGAAATTATCGCTGCGTAATCCATTTATTTCAACAAAGTAACTGTAATCCAATTACCACTCACTGAAACAGTAACTGTAACTGAATACAGTTACTCATAATTTGTACTCTGATTATGTAACTCAGATTCAGATCTCATTTTGATCAGCAGATTGAACCGGCAAGGGATGTTTTTGTTTTTTGCTCCGTGCATTTGAGCAGCAGAAAGCTCCAGTTGAACAGAGCCATTCTCTCACAGTCAGAGGTTGAACTGATTTCCACCGGCATATTATCCTTATCTTTTAAACATTTTATGAAGTGTCCTTTAATTTTCACTGGAGGGTCTTTAATGTGTAGTAATGTAATATTATATTGCTGTGTTGTACTGTGACAGTCATTTTCTTATGTTTACACGATCAATGTTCTTCAACTTTTACTTTAAACTATGTGATAGTGTTAAAAAATATATAAATGTTTTGTTTTTTTTTTGTTAACATTTCTCTCAAATGCAAACATGCAGTTAACTTGTCTAACCAGATTTGTAAATCCTCTCACATTTCACAGTTGATTATAGTAGTTGTAGTTTCAGCCTTCAGAGCACATTGTGATATTTGGACTATGAAGTTTAATGTTTTATGATAGACAAGATAAAAATAAAATCTTTATCTCGATGAACCTATTGTCTGTTGATATGTAATGGTCTTGTTGCAGCAATCCAGTGGTTAGATATTGGGTAATAAAAGTTCAAACAATCTTATAAACTCAGGTCACTTTACGAGAATAGGAGTGGACTAAAGGAAAAAACATCGGAAAGTAAAATAGTTTTTTTTTTTATTTACTGTTGAAATAAGAGGAAGAAGTGAAGCACAAGGAAGAAGGCAAAAACGTACACTGGTATTTTGTTTCTAATTGCTTGGTATGACTTGGTGCACATTACAATCGTGCCAAACCAGTTCAGTGTAGATCGTATTTGCTTTTTCAAGTAGTTTTATAGTTTTATCAAAATGCAGTAAAGGCGCGGTCACATCCAGGTCTTCATCAGTGGACGATGCATCTTCTCCCAAACCCGACCAGTGGACCCATCTGTAAAACAAACCGTAAACTTGAGCACATATTGACTTATACACAGTGTTGGGGAGTAACAGATTACATGTACCGGAGTTATGTAATCAGAGTACAAATTATGAGTAACTGCATTCAGTTACAGTTACTGTTTCAATGAGTGGTAATTGGATTACAGTTACTTTGTTGAAATAAATGGATTACATGGTGGTATTTTCCTGTTTTCACATTTTGAGCCACTCATTGTCAGAAACTATACCAGGTCTGAACTAGATCTAAACCAGGACTAAACCAGGTCTAAACCAGGTCTAAAATCAGGTCTAAACCAGGACTAAACCCAGGTCTAAACTAGATCTAAACCAGGTTTAAACTAGATTTAGACTAGATCTAAACCAGGTCTAAACCAGGACTAAAACCAGGTCTAAACCAGGACTAAAACCAGGTCTAAATCAGGTCTAAACTAGATCTAAACCAGGTCTAAAACCAGGTCTATACTAGATCTAAACTAGATCTATACCAGGACTAAAACCAGGTCTAAATCAGGTCTAAACCAGGACTAAAACCAGGACTAAAACCAGATCTAAACTAGATCTAAACCAGGTCTAAATCAGGAATAAAACCAGGTCTAAACTAGATCTAAACTACATCTAAACCAGGACTAAAACCAGGTCTGAACCGGGACTAAACTAGATCTAAACCAGGTCTAAACTAGATCTAAACCAGATGTAAACCAGGAGTAAAACCAGGTCTAAACTAGATCTAAACCAGGTCTAAACCAGGACTAAAACCAGGTCTAAACCAGGACTAAAACCAGGTCTAAAACCAGGTCTAAATCAGGTCTAAACTAGATCTAAACCAGGTCTAAAACCAGGTCTAAACCAGGACTAAAACCAGGTCTAAAACCAGGTCTAAATCAGGTCTAAACTAGATCTAAACCAGGTCTAAAACCAGGTCTAAACCAGGTCTAAAACCAGGTCTAAATCAGGTCTAAACTAGATCTAAACCAGGTCTAAACCAGAATTTAACAGCTTTTTATTTTCTTTTATCAGACAAAACATCTTATTTTAACATTTCCTCGTCTTTGCTTCTCTACAGCAAATCAAGTAATCCAAAGTATTCAGATTACATTACTCACTTTAAGTAATTTAATGGATTCTGTTACAAACTACATTTTGACGTATGTAATCTGTAGGAGAATACATTTTAAAAGTCACCTCCCAACACTGCTTATATTATTTAAAAAAAAGGAAAACAGACCAACCTTAAGATAAAACGGAATGTTCCAACCGTGTCTATAGGCGCTGACGGGGGAGGCCGGACACACGCTGCAAGCTCCCGGCAAGCGGCAACAAGCCTGTGTGGAGAGAGAGAAGCGACTCATCCTAAACTGTATCGGTGTAGAAAACGTAAACATCCCAACTCATGCCACAAGAGAGAAAAATAAAACAAAAAACGTACCTCTTTACTTGAGGATATATCCCGTCTTCAAGCAGCACTTACCATCAGAAGACCCTCTAACGCGATCTAAAAACCTACAAGAAGCACAAATACTAAGCATCCCGAGACTGTGGGCAGAGTACAGCAGCAGCAGGATGACATGAAGGTCGGTGTAGGCCGTGAATGTGAACCCAAAACTGGGGAACTAAAAAAAAAAAAAACATCAGAATGAAACCAAAAGCGCCTGTGATGGAAACAGATCGTGAACGAGTGAAGACACATCAGAACTCTTGCAACAATATGCAACGAATGCTTGAGGACAGTAAGGCTGACGAGGATTTGCGTGACTAATGACATAACCGTTTTTGAGTCCCATTACCCGTTTATTATGTTTACATTTTTTTTTTCATTTTTTTTTTTTTTAGCGAAAGCCTAACATTAACTGATTAAACACACTGAAACTTTACCGCAAACGTTCAGGTTCTTCTGCGTGGCCTGACATTTTAGATTCACTTTAGCTGAAAATAAACAAAACGCTGGATTGGATGTGTGACTCAAATATGCTGAAATTATTTTTAAATCGTACAGGTGCACATGTGAAATCATTTAAACCTCGCTGTAAGCTTTAGTCTAAACTTAATACTGCCTCTTAGCAGTTGGTTAAAATTGCGAACAGTCCATTGTACAAGGCTGAAGCAGATCCTGAGCAAAGCGAATTCTGAAAAGAGCAAAAAGTTTAAATTAAAAGCCGATGTTACTTTGGTAATATTTGTTTATTTAAAAAGCCCTCCAATGAAAAACTTGTGAAATCAAACAAAATGAAATAAAATTAGACAACTGCTTATATAATATGAATCCTTCTTCGCAAGATAACAAAAGAGTAAAGGAAAACCAAGATATTTGTCGCAATGAGATCACTTGCCACACCAAGAAAACTTTTTACTCAGATTTTACTGACGTGTTTTGATAAACAAACTTAAGATAAATTATTTCTATTCAATTAACTTGTCAGTTGTATTGTCTGTTTAAAAAAACTCCAGAATTTAAACAATAAAAGAAGCAGGGAACGGCGCTGTCCGCAATTCAGCATCTTCCAGCAAGTCTCAGGTGAACGCAACGCAATCCGCCATAGACCGGGGTGTTTACGCCTTGAGCATCGGTCGACGACGATCTTGTCATATTCTAAACCTGCAAGAGAGCACACCACAAGTCAAGAGCGCCTTCTACTCAGACCGCGCAAGGCTGACTTTTCCAAGCAGCAAAATGACGTTTTGAGCAGCAGCCAACTCATGGTTTAGAGCGCCAGAGTCAAATCAGGTAATCACTTGCATTTTAGTGGCGAGTAAAATCAGATTAAACATAAGCAGACTGCATCTCCTCACCTTGGACTAGTCTAATAGGCGTATCGAGCTGGTGGCGGCGGTGGAAGTCTCTCAGAGTACATGTCTCGAGACCTCGGGACCCCGTACGAGGAGCCTTTGGAGACAGGGGAGAGGCGGGAGCGCTCGTAGGAGAAGCCGTTACCCGCGGGTGGAGGGGGCGGCGGCGCCCTGCGCAGAGGGCTTCTGTCCCGGCCTATATACGATGGAGGCGGTGGCATTGGGCGGCGGTCGTATGGGTCGAGGCCCAGACGCTGGGCCAGAGCAGACGAAGGCGGCGGAGGAGGAGGGATGGCACTGGAGCGCCTGTCGTTATACGGAGTGCTGTAGCCTCGGGCGCGGTATTTCTCATAGTAATCAACCATTCCAGCGTAGTTGTCGCCGTAGCGGTCGGGGTACGCCCCACGCCTGGGCGGAGGGGGCGGCATAGGTGGCGGTGCGCCGTAAGCAGACATGGGGCCTCTGTAGGGCTCGTGCCTGTCGTCAGGGTAACGAGGCGGGTAATAACTGCCTCTGCCGGACGGAGGTGGATAGTAATCCTCCTCAGGGGCCCCTCTTGGTCTGCTTTTTGAAACCTGAACATTTATGCGCTTTCCTAAGAGAAAAATATATGCAATCAAGGTTCTCATTCAACTTAGTAGTGCATCAAATTAAATAGGCAGGAGTCAAGGTCTTATGTGCCTAAAATGTGTAGACATTTGTGTTTTAGATGTGCAGTCATTGGAAAGACAAACTGCATTATAAAATGAAAATAATTTGATCTCAAAAGAAGAAGTTGCACATCCTTGATCTTAGACAAACCTAAACATTACCTTGAAACTCGCTGTTGTCCAGACCCTCCAGAGCATCCATGGCCTCGTCGGCATTGGGCATGTGAACAAAAGCAAAATTTTTCACAATGGCACACTCTGAGACGGTGCCATACTCCTCGAACAGCTCCTGCAGCTCTTTCTCGTGGCCCTTCTCGACGTTGGCGACGTGGAGTTTCATGGGGCCCTGGTTCTTAGCTCGGCTGGGCTCCACGTTGATGGGTCGGCCGTTGAGCTTATGGAAGTGAAGCTCTCTGATGGCCTTTGTGGCCGCCTTGCGGTCATCCATGTGGATGAAAGCATAATTTTTAAACTTTGCGCATTCCGTCACTGTTCCGTATGGAGCGAACAGAGCCTCCAGTTCTTCTTTCTCGGTTTCCTGGGCGAGGTTACCAATAAATATTTTCACCATGACTGCAGCCAAGTTCTGAGAGAGACAGACACAAGTTCAGGTCAGTACAGCGTCCAGTGACACCGATAACGAACAAACACAGCACAAACGCACAGAGTGATCAGAATTTCAACATCAAAAACTGCGACGCAGTCCGTTTGGAGAGGCTGGTAATAATAAAACTGTGAAACGAGTGCGTAATTACGGAAAACAGTTCTGCACTCGGCCCATTCACGACGAACATGTGAGTCCGTGCAGCCGCATTTTCTTGTGGTTTGGTCATTTTTAAGCAGCTTTTCTGTATTTTACAGTTTGGGATAAATCTGCAGGGACGGGGGACACGGGGATCAAAACTGGGACAGTCCCGGGTGTTTAGGGACATCTGGTCACCAAATAAACACGGCACAAACACAAACAGCGCACACACGCAGCGCCGCCGGAGCTTTACGAAGAGGAAACCGAAAGCTGCGAACGCCGAACAAACGCCACTAACTAGTTTGTACCTTTGACCCATACATATACACACCAGGTTAGACAACAGTGTTATTTTAAATGTGAGCGTTTAATGTCTATAAAGTCGTACTTTTACACGAACGCAGCATTTGTTGGTTTCGTTTATCGTGTTGTTAGCATACCGACACTAGCTTCCTCTCAGGGTAAGACGTTTTATTAAACACGCACAACAGGACGTGCACAAAACCGCAAACAGACTTTATTGAGATAATAATAATAAATCTTTAACTTATTGTATTGTATTATTTTGGCTAAATACTCACCAGCAGACAAACGGCGTCGAGCCAAAGTTGAATCCAACGAAACTTGATAATCTACAGTCACAGGAAACGCGACCGAGGGGTGAGTTCGCCGAATGTGATTGGTGGAAACACGCGTCTGTAAAAAATACTGAGATTGTGATTGGCGGAGAGCTGGTGCACGCGCTTAAAACCCGCCCAGCGGAATTTACAGCGGAACTTCCTTTTTTTTTTTTTTTTTTTTTTTTTTTTTTTTTTTTTAAATTACAGATTTTCAGATACAAACAAAATGGCACTTTATCAAGTCAACAGTTCACGTGAAAAAAAAGCATAAAAAACACAACAGTAAAATGAATAAAAATTTAGCGGGGAGCTGGTCCTCGCGCTTAAAACTCGCCTACCCGAACTTTTTTTATTATTTTTTTTTTTCTTCAGATTTTCAGATACAAACTAAAACGGCACCTTATCAAAGTCAAGAGTTCACAGGAAAATAAAATAAATGCATAAAAAACACAACCGTGGATGAATAAAAACATATATTAGCGGAGAGCTGGTCCCCGCTCTTAAACCCCGCCCACACGAATTAATTATTATTATTTTATTTATTTATTTATTTATTTATTTATTTTTTTTTTCAGATTTTCAGATACAAACACACACACAAAAAAAACACGGCACCTTATAAAAGTACAGTTCACATGAAAATAAAAATAATGCATAAAAACACGACAGTGAACGAGAGGGGTGAGTTCGCCGAATGTGATTACTGGAAACACACGTCTGTAAAAAAATACTGATATTGTGATTGGTGGAGAGCTGGTCCCCGCGCTTAAACCCCGCCCACCCGAATTTAAAACTTTTTTTTTTTTTTTTTAATTGCAGATTTTCAGATACAAACAAAACGGCACTTTATCAAGTCAACAGTTCACGTGGAGAAAAAAAGCATAAAAAACACAACAGTAAAATGAATAAAAATTTAGCGGGGAGCTGGTCCTCGCGCTTAAAACTCGCCTACCCGAACTTTTTTTATTATTATTATTTTTTTTTTTTCAGATTTTCAGATAGAAACTAAAACGGCACCTTATCAAAGTCAAGAGTTCACAGGAAAATAAAATAAATGCATAAAAAACACAACCGTGGATGAATAAAAACATATATTAGCGGAGAGCTGGTCCCCGCTCTTAAACCCCGCCCACACGAATTAATTATTATTATTTTATTTTATTTTATTTTATTTTTTTTCAGATTTTCAGACACAAACACACACACACACACAAAAAACACGGCACCTTATAAAAGTACAGTTCACATGAAAATAAAAAATAATGTATAAAAACACGACAGTGAACGAGAGGGGTGAGTTCGCCGAATGTGATTAGTGGAAACACACGTCTGTAAAAAAATACTGAGATTGTGATTGGTGGAGAGCTGGTCCCCGCGCTTAAACCCCGCCCACCCGAATTTAAACTTTTTTTTTTTTTTTTTTTTTTTTTTTAATTGCAGATTTTCATATACAAACAAACCAAAAAATACATAAGGGTGAATTGTTGTAGAGTTGTAGGGAGTATTATCTGTTACATAAGGAGTTGGTTGGTTTAATCTTAAAAAATGACACTTGTGAATAAAATGTTTACCTAAAATAAATGAACTGTTGATACCAAATTCCATTATTTTATAATTTATTAATACACAATTTATTTATTTATTTGTTTTAATTTAATTGTATTGTATTATTTATTTTATTTTTTATGGTTGGAATGGCCAAGACTGAAAATCAAACCCAAATTGTTGCAGAATCTCACAATAGAAAGAAAAGATGTTCCAAATCCTCCTCCCCTGAGTCACAAAACACACATTTACTCATCTCAAATTTACATTTTTGTTTTAGGAATTCATTGGTTGGATAAATTTTATTCCAAAATTTAAACTGTATCTCTTTTACTTTAGGGGGAACTGGAAAGGAAAGATATAGTTCTAATATTTTAATTTCTTTTAAGAATGTAATCTATTTTAACTGGCTTGGAGAAGCAATAATTTAGTAAGGAACATCTCAAAAATGTGTTATTCAATACAAAGTTGTCTGAGTCCAGGAGAAATATCAGAATACAACACATCCTGCTTGACCGTAGTTCTAATCTGTAATGTGAGAGCTCTGATACTCACCGGAACTAAAAGTGTTTCATTTGATTATGAGTCTAGATCCAGTGCCAGGCAGGACCAGAGTGATGTGAATGGACTGGACTCGTAACTTGTTGTCTTGTTGTTGATCGTCCAGCAGAGGGAGACACAGACCGAGACATGAGCCTAGTCTAGAGTGACCAGACGTCCTTATTTACCCGGGACAGTCCCAGTTTTGAGCCTGTGTTCCCTGTCCCAACCCACTGATCTGTCCCAGTTGTATTCAAAAAATGTCCCATGTGTCCCTATTTTTAACCAATCTGATCCCTGTCAACAGTAAAGAGAAGCATAAATTATCATTTGTTTAGAAAAATACAGAAAAGCTACTTAAAAAATGACCAAAACACAAAGAAAATGTGACTTCCTTAATTACATACTTTTTTCATTCATCCATCCATCTTTTTCTGCTTATCCGGGGCCGAGTCATGGGGGCAACAGTTTAAGCAGGGACTCCCAGACTTCCTTCACCTTGGACACTTCCTCCAGCTCCTCCAAGGTGTTCCCAGGCCAGCCCAGAGACATAGTCCCTCCAGTGTGTCCTGGGTCTTCCCTGGGGTATCCTCCCTGTGGGACATGCCCAGAACACCTCTCGAGGGAGACGTCCAGGAGGCATCAGGACAGATGACCGAGCCTCAACTGCTCCTCTCGACGTGGAGGAGCAGCGGCTCTACTCCGAGCTCCTCCCATGTGACTGAGCTCCTCACCCTATCTCTAAGGGAGCGCCCAGACATCCTGCGGAGGAAACTCATTTCGGCCATTTGTATCCACGATCTCGTTCTTTCGGTCATTACCCAGAGCTCATGACCACAGGTGAGAGTAGGAACGTAAATTGACGGTAAATCGAGAGCTTTGTCTTTCGGCTCAGCTCCTCTTCACCACAATGGTCCGATACAGCGACCACATCACTGTATTTTAGAACATAAATAAACTCTAAAACCTCTGAGGAATCTTTCCCACATTATTTAACAAGTTCTTGCAAAATTGTTTATCTGTAAAAACATTTCATCTTCAAAAATGCTCTAAATCAGGAAAAAACACTATATAAAATGTGACCGTTTTCCATTTCACATTTATGTTGTCTAAAGGCAAATTAATGTCTTTGAAACTGTGTTGTGTACACTTCACTCTTAAACTATATTACTCTATCATACTATTTTATTACTATATTACTTACTACTTATTAATTACTATATTAGAAATGTTCCAGGTAATTAACTTTTACTTTTACATTTTATAGAAACTACACATCAAGACCAAACCTCGTTACTTGGATGAGCGATGGCTGGGAATATCAGGTGCCATGGTGGAAAAAAATGGTCGTTGTGTCCTTCGGCAAGACACTTCAGCCACATTGCCGCGTGGTGTGTGTGCGCTGGTGCAGATAGGCAGTCTCGCCTTCGCCAGTCTGTCCCAGGGCGGCTGTGGCTGGAGCGTGGAGTGAATGAATAATGCACTGGAAAGGTTCGAGTGTCCAGAAAGTGCTAATGTATTGTTACTATTACTATAAACAAATATTTAATTAATAATGGTTCAGGCTTAGTAACGACTTAATTAAAGAGTTTGGAGTTCTAGCCTGAATATTTTTTTAATCAAAGGCCCAAATCAACACATATTTCGAATAAAGACTTTTAGTTCAGGTGCAAGCGTAGTTATAAATTGTTACCAAATAACTCGGCAAAATATGATTTTTACTTTTACATTTATATTTTGATTCTGACTAAATAAACAAGACCTGCTGCCTCCCATAACATTCAATACGGCTATAAATAGAGGTCTGCAGAAATATCGAAATATCAATATATCGTATTGTTGAACGTGAAGATACGGTATCGATATTGTGGGCTGCTGTGTCGATATATCGCCAAGAGTATTTTTTTTAGTGTGTTATTTTGTTACAGTGCTTCTTGTTTAGTGGAAGGAAACTCGTTTATGCGACACATTTGACATTTTCACAGTTTTGATGATTAAAATGTTTGTTAAACCACTTCTTGTGCAAAGTTCATATGAAACACAAAGACTTTTAGTATCACAGACATGATTTAGACTATTTTTTTATCGAATTGCCTTGAGCTATATCGAATCGTAAGCTCACTCTATGTATCGGGGTATCGTATCGTATCGGCAACTTCTTCATGATCCCCAGCTCTAGCTATAAACCTCATCATTTTGACGCTCCCTGTAGATCATCATAAACTCCAATATTAGTTTGTGAAAGTTACTTGAAAATGTTTAGAGTAACAAATAAAAAAATGTATATCCCATAACATATTTAATTAATTACACAGCAAAAACTGGAGTGTTAAAATTTCAGGGTGAAATATTTCAGAATTGTTTTTAACACAAAAAGTGTTATTTTAACTCTGCAAAGCTTTGGGGGCAGGATAAACAAAAATTGTGCAGAATTGTCCTTTTGGTGCTTTTCAGTGCAGGGAACAGTCTGAAAGACAAAGTAGGAAAAAGCTGAGGCGCTCAAAAAGTACAAAATAATTAAAAGCCTTTAATACCACATGGCAGATAAAGTTAAAATCACACCAACGATTTTAACTGATTTGAAAATTAACAATTTGAAAGTTAAATGGGGATTGGAGTTGGGGTTATTTGCCAGAGTTGATATGGTTGAAGTTAATTCAATTTGCCTTAGTGTTAATTTGGCTCCTCCCACCACCATTTCAAACTCCCGCGAGAGAAGACCAGTCTGAACCAGTTTTGTTCATAATTTCATCTTAAATTAACTCAAATAAAGTGTAAAAATAAAACATCTGTGTGTTGTTGAGCTAAATCGGGGAGGGGGGTCAGCCCTGTGTTCCCATTGCTCTGTGTTGCCGAATTTTTAAGATTTTCTCAAAATGAAACAAATTCAAGTCATTTTTATTTTTATACCACATTTAAAAGAGAAATTTCAACCTCAGATCCTTTGCTCCACGACCTCTACATTACATCTGTAGTCAACTGCTGCTGGAGAATAGATCGGGTGTAATTGATGACCAAATTGGGAGAAATGTGGGTAAATTCTGATGCAAATTGATGATAAAGGAAATGAGGGAACATAAGGCCTAATTCTAAAAAGAAAAAAAAACTCCAAAAACTTAGAAATGAGGGAACATACGCGTGCTCCCCAATCAGGATAACCCTAGAAGTGTTCTCTGTTTACTCTCAAAACGTTAATATAACTCTTGATTTTGGAGTTAAACAGGAACTTTTGTCCAGTGTTAATCAACATTTCCAAAAGTGTTAAATTAAAGCGATAGTTCAGAATTTTGGACATACGGCGTCATTTCCTCGTGAACCAGAGTGTTGGAGACGTGTGGAGACACTTTTTTTAAATCTTCCATCCAGTCCTTGTATTTGCAGAGGTCACTGGTGTTAGACTAGTGCATGTCAATGGTCATAGTTTATCCTGCCACTAAAAACAGTCTTACCCACTCCACAAAACCCCCAAAACAAAACCATTATTACACCAGACTGTCCATGTGAATGTCTGTGTTGATAGAATAATTGTAGAAGTAAAACCAACGTTAGGGTTGAAGGATTTTTATTTATTATTATTTATTTGTTTTTTTATTTATTTTGCATTTGAAGTATTTATGTCTGAGCAGCAGCAGAGAGAGCGGCGGATTGATATATGAGAAAATAGTCCCTCAACATGAGAAGATTCATGTGATGCAAGGTTAGTTTTACTTCTACATTTATTCTATTAACACAGACATTCCCATGGACAGTCTGGTGTAATAATAGATTTTCTTCCGGTGTTTTGTGGAGTGGGTAAGACTGTTTTTAGTGGCAGGAGAACTATGGCCATTGACATGCACTAGTCTAACCGATTCTGCCTGAATGACTGAGGGTTTTTTCACGTAACTCTAGAACAGATCGGACTTGTATAAACCCCGAAAAAACGTTAAGACTCCACTTTTTGCCGTGTACAGAACGAAAAAAATGTGTGCAAAAATGTATACCAAACAATGAAAAGTCCTTTATTGCCATCAGAACATGAGTGAGACAAAAACTCTGACAAAGAGTGAGGAGTCGACTGTACAACCAGCACTCGCCAAACGCAAACGCACACACACACGCACGCGCACACACACACACGCAAACGCACGCAAACACACACACACACACGCTTCCAAACAGGACACAGGATATACAGGTCACAAAATGAGGTAATAAAAAGGTCCACTCGCACATGCAAACTCCAACCCAGGTACAAAAACTTAAACTCGTTTTTTCCAACAACACAGGTGAGCAGAATGTTCAACAGCAGCATCTATGTCGCCCCAATTCTCCCGTTTTGAGAACCTTTGGTCACTCTTGCTTGCCATGCGAAACAAAAACATAACAAAAAAAATATTAGGTCTCTTTCCTGACGTTTAGCAGATGAGCGGTTAAGTAAGGGGTCAACACAAATTTCTTCAAAGTTAGTGGGACATTCAAGTGTGTGAGTTAGCAGCAGTTCTAATAGTGAGTGGAATCAATGGCTTTAGTTTTAAGTAGATGACGTTTTTTGTTGTTTTTTCTTTTCTCCATCATGCGCAAAGACAGGCACGTTTTTTTTTTTGTTTTTTTTTGTCACCCAAACGCCATGCAGGTTAGAAAAATAGACTGCACGAGACAGAAATCAACAGTTCATCTCCAGAGAAGAGTTTGATTTCATTTGGATTTTATTATTATTTTCTAAAGATGTGGAAATAGCAACAAAAGAAAAAAAATAGAACTTGAGAGCGGTAACCAAGACAACAACATGAGCAGAGAGCCATTGAGATTTTTTTTTTTTTCAAAAGTCCCTCGCACTCGCCGTTGAAACCCAGTCCGTGAGGTACGAGACAAGTCCGTTTAAACGTCGACCGCTCGGAGTGATTCGCGTGCGTACCTGTTTAGAATGGCCGTGTTTTCGTTGGGTTTTTTTTGTGTGTTTTCGTTGTGGTTGTGTCAGTTTTGTTTTTGTTTTTTGGCTCTCGCGTTGAAGCCGTCCCACACGTTTTCGGGCCTTTTCCGCTCGGACCTCCCCGAAGCGCCGTGCGACCCCGGAGAGGCGGCCGGCGGTCTGCTTCTGCCGTAGTGGTTTTTATTTTTTTTAGTACAGCTATAGTTTCAAGACACTGTTGTGACCGCTGCCTCCCTCGACGCCGAGCGGAGGCGCGGCGAGTTCTAGGTTTCTCGTGAGTTTTTTTGTTTTCCTAAAGCCTGTCCTGTTTTACGAGCAGCGCCGCTTTTTTTGTTTGTTTTTGGACCCTGTGTAGGCTTCGTGGTTGTCGCGTCACCAGCACAAGCCTCTAGTCGTTACCAATTGTCACCTCTCAGTTTTTCCTTTTTGCCAAATCTCACACGCAACCGCACATCAGTACATACCCCCCGAAAGTGCCCAAATATTCCGATTTTGGCACCTCTTTAAGTCACCACCTTGGCCAGCCACTCCCTCCGCTTCTCTAGCCTCTCTCGTCCGTTTCCTTTTTCTCTCCGTAAAACAAAAAAAAAAAAACCCTGGAAGAACAACCTCTCCCCTCTTAAGTAACAATAGCAAACTTAATGAAGAATGTTTTTAATATATCTTTTTTTTTTCAAATTCAAGGCACAATGTCTTAATATTCCAATCTCCCAGGTTCAGTGTGCGTCCCGTTCGGACCGCCCGCTCGTGCGCCGCTCCCTACAGCCCACACCTCTCCGTCCTGTAACACTGTTCGGTAGAGAGAGTGACCGCCAAGTCCAAACCAGTGATAAACAATGAACAAAATGAACAAAAATAAAAGACACAAATAAAGATTTTCTTGAACAAAAACGTCTTGTCCTGTTTCTCGTGTTTCAGTATTTCAAAATCAAGTCATATCCACCAGCTCTTTTTTGGCAAGCTAGTTGTTTTTTTAAATAAGCACTAAGTACTGATAGATAGGATAGCATACACCGTGTGGTTTTAAGTAGATGCGTTTGTCGTTTTTTTGTACTTTTTCACTCTCATAGTATGGATTCAGTATTTTGTCTCATCTGTTTAAGGTTTACGTTAATGCAAGCAGGGACAGAGTTTGCCATGAAGTCTTGCTCTAGACTTAGGTTTGTGAGAGGCGGGCGGGCCGCGTGCTTTACGACACCCCGTTGACCAGGGTCAGGCCGGAGTCGCCGCCTGCGTTCATGCCTTTGCTGGGGGAGCGCTTGGACGGCGTCCGCTCATCCTTCTTGGAGCTAGTCCCGTTCTCCTACAAAAAAAATACACAAAACACATGATTGGAATTATGTGAGAGCTGTATTTTTCAGACTATAAGGCTACGTTCAGACTGCAGGGTTTAACGCTTAATTCCGATTTTTTTGTGAAATCCGATGTGCTTCACTTCACTGACATGGAGTTCATTAACAATTTTCGCCGACTTCAGTGCAGAATAGTGACGTTTGTGGCTTGTTGATAACGTGTAGGTGGATGAATGCACTTTGGCCGTTCACACTGAAGTCACATGTCAAAAGATCAGATATGTATCGTTTTAATAGCACATATCCAAGGCTACGTTCAGACTGCAGCCTGAAGTGACCCAAATCCGATTTTTTGGCCCCTATGTGACCTGTATCTGATCTGAACCACACAGATCCGATTTTTTCAAATGTGACCCAGGACACTTGGATATGTGCTCCTAAAACCGATACATATCTGATCTTTTGACATGCGACTTCAGTGTGAACGGACAAATCGCATTCATCCACCTACACGTTATCAACAAGACACAAATGTACACAATGTCTTCTCCTCATACAAAAATTGTTAATGAACTCCATGTCACTGAAGTGAAGCACATCACCACTCACCACATCCACACGTTCCTTTCAACGTTCTGTCCCACAAAACACCACGACCAAAAACCTCGTCCTTCTCCTTCTCAATCTCCTCCTTAAAACAAGTAAGTTGTTCATGTTCTGGCTCCGGTACGAGAGGAACTTTAAAATCTCCAGGTGCTCGATGCTGCGTCCACGTTTGGACAACTTCCGTAAACACAGAGACGCTCGCTGCGGTTGACGTCGTCGTGTCTCCAGTGTCACATGTGGGACACTTTCGGGCCGTTTAATGTTCACACTGGAGTCACATACAAGTCACATTTAACTGGAAATGTGAACGACCTCGAAAAAACATCGGATTTCACACAAAAAAAAAAATCTGAATTGAGCGTTAAGCCCTGCTGTCTGAACGTAGCCTCAGTGTCACTTTTTTTTTCATGGTTTGTGTTTCCTGTGACTTATCCTCCAGTGTGACTTCTATATTAAAATGTTTTTCGTGAAGTGTGGAAGAGGTTCTCGTCTTGTGTGTGAGTATCTGCTGCTCCTGTTCCTCCTGTACCACTGTCACTTGGCTCTACTGCGCATGTCTCCTTGCAGAAAGAGCCTCCGTCCTGTCTGTATCATGTCAGTCGATCGCACCGTTACTTCTGCACCACTGAACAATTTAACATTGAAACTTTAAACTTATAAAGACAAAGACTGAGAAGACTGAAACGCCCCCGAAAACAAAATCAGATTCTGCAGATTACAAACTGTAAGTCGTGAAATCTGCAGCTGAAAACGGAAATCGAGCAGCAGAAAGAAAGTTTGGAGTGAGAGAGAAACTTGTGACACCGGGAGGATGCACCATGAAACTTTCCTGAAGTCACTGGATGGATGGACAAAGCCTGGACTTCAGTGACACCGAAACCATCCTGTCGGGATTCAGAAAGACCCCAGAATAATTCTAACTGGAACTGATGCTGAGGGTTAGGGTTAGCGCTCCGTTTACCTCCGGAGATCGAGGCCGAGTTGTTCAGAAGTGACACCGAGGATGAAGAATTGAATGGATTTAGTGATTTGGAGTGAGATGGAGAGTTTGGTTAAACTTGTTCTGTTCTGTTGTTTATGTTATAGTTTATCTGAAGAACTGTAAAATATGTGACATTAACAGTCTGTTGACACATAAAATCCAGTGCAATGTCTATGTATGAAAAAGAAAACTAAGTTGTTGAGCATAGTAGTGAAGATTTCTGTTTGCAATTGAGTGAACTAAAATGTACTGATTTGAAATGTTTGAAAGTAACTCTCGGTGTTAATGTGTCTGGAAAAGGGAAACAAAAGATGACTCTTCTTTCTGCTCCTTTTCAATAATTTCTTGTATGTTTGATGTTTTGACACTGTTAATGTTTTTTTATACTTTATGAATGAAATGTATAAATAAATCATTGGGTTTATGTTAATGTAAGCAGGGGACAAATTTTGCCATTTTTTATTTGTTAACACTCTATAAGATCAGTGAGTGTTTGTGGTTGGACAGGACTTTACCTTGGGCTCAGGTCCAGTGTGGTTTTCTTTCTGGGGCAGGTTCTGTCTGCTCTGGGACTCAGCGCGAGATATGTAATCAGCAACTGTCACTGGAAACACAGAGCAGCAGCAGCACGTTACACACTGAGACGTGAACACACCTGAGGAACACTGACGCTTCCATCATTCTCTTCACTATATAATAGGAGTGTAATGGTTCATGTATTTGTGCCAAATAGTTTCGATACGGGACGTTTGGTTCGGTGCAGGACTGTGCACGAGTGAGTTCGCACAATTTGTGTGTTTATACTCCACCACTCCATGTGCAGCTACACAGAAGGATCAGCTCTTTAATATTCACGAGGAAACTTGTCCGTGATCGGAGGAGTGTTTCCCGCAGCGCTTTATAGTTAGAGCGGCCACCTTGAGAACAATTGCCCCCGCCTTGACTATGTCTCTCCGAACCACGTGAATCCAAACTTACTGCAGACCATGTGGCCAAGTTTGTTTTTCAGGCCAAAAATCTGAAAATTGAGTAAAACTTCTTGCTGGAACTGTTAGTGCTGCGCTTTACTTTTTCAAAAGATTTGTTTACCGTTTACAAGGAATTCATTTTTATAATATTTCAAACATTTGTTGCTTATTTGAGAATATTTCCTTTAACTTTTTAGTATTACTCAACAGCACTTTGCATTTATTTTATTTTCCTGTTTGTATAAAGTTAAAACAAATTGTTGCTTTAATAAACACACAAATGGTTTTTGCATTTCAAACTGAACCGAAAATGAACCAAACCGTGACCTCAAAACCAAGTATGTACTGAACTGTGATTTTTGTGAACCGTTACACCGCTGCTGCTGCACGAGTGTGTCGGTGGTGATTTGGTTGGAGTCACTTTCTGCGACAGGTGAAGTGTGTAAAACAAACGTACCATGCACTGAGGTTATTAGACACTTCTTCACGGGAGGCCGACAACAGAATAAAAAGTCAAACATACGTCATGTTCTACTGTTGATGTTCTGTGAACCTTAAATGAACCGAAATGCCCTTTAAAACTTCCTCTGTGCTGCTGAAATCACTTGGAATAATCATAGGAAATTGTATTGCTTTTATGGCTGGTATAACTGCTTTTCATTGATGAAATATGCAAGTGTTTCCTGGAGAATGAAATAAAAGCATACCCTCGGCCGGCTGTCTGTCGCGGCTGGCTGAACCTCCCTCGGGCCGGTTGCCACGGTTACGGCGACGACGGCTCCGGTTGCGGCGCTGGGGTCTGGCTTCTTCATCTGGCAGTGAAATGACAAAATATAGGTCAGCTCTCGCCTCGTGGACCAACAGAGCTTTGATTTGATCACAGAGGGTCGCCGCTCCATTACCGAGGCCGTTCTCGCTGGGGCCGCCCTGGCCGTCGGACTCGCCCGCGTCCATCACACTGGGGTCCTGGTCGGTGCGGCGGCGCCTGGAGCGTCTGCGCCTCTCCCCCGCGCCCTCGCTCACGTCTCCGTCGGCCAGCTCACCCTCGCCCTCCAGCAGAGAGTACGGGTTACTGTCCGGGTCCCTCAGCACTGCACAAAAACACACAAACACACAAAAACACACAAACCCACACTGGTCGTTTAGGTTTCAGCCTTTAAAAAACACACATGCAAGTATTTAATATTCAACTATAACACACAAAGATGATATTTTAGCATTCTGCAACATTGATCTAAAACAACTAAAAAACAGGGTTCCCACTTTTTTTCACTTACAAAATTTCAAAACTTTTCCCTGACTTTTTCATGACCTAAAGTGAATTTTCCATGACTTTACGGCAGAGGTTGGACAAAGTCATTGTTTTGCAAGTCTCAAGTCTTTGACCTCAAGTCCGAGTCAAGTCCCAAGTCAAATACAGGCAAGTCCAAGTCGAGTCTCGAGTCACTGACCCATAAGTCCAAGTCAAGTCCAAGTCGTCTGCTTTGAGCTTTTCAAGTCTTTAAACCAAAGGACCAAATATAGTTTAGATTTTTGCAATTTATATTGAATTATACGATACATTTTACTTTAAAAAAAATCATGGTACTTTATATATGAGTATATATATAAGAGATGTAGAAATTAGTTTAGGTACTTTTTCCTTTTTAAATGTCTTGACAAGATCTTAGTGTGAATCATTACGGTCAAAATAGAAAGAATTCAGATTTAAAAGTGCTTCTCAAGTCATTGACCTTCAAGTCCAAGTCGAGTCCCAAGTCGTAGTCGATTTTATCAAGTCAAGTCTCAAGTCCTAAAAATAGTGACTCAAGTCTGACTCGAGTCCAAGCCACGACTTGCAAGTTCCCATCTCTGCTTGACGGCCCCAACAGAATTGATTAGACATTTAGGGCTAAATCTGAAATGTGAACTCTTTCCACTCACCTTATGGTTTGGGATTATAGTTTTTTAACATTTAAAATCCTGTCAGTGCATTTATTGTTGTCTCTTTTAAGCAAAAGGCGCAGACGTTTGGAAATAATCAGAATAGTCTAATGAGAACTTAACAGAACACTGGAGTTGCGAGAAAGAGATACTAAAATTTCATGACTTTTCCAGGCCTGGAAAATAACATTTTCAATTTCCATGACTTTTCCAGGATTTCCATGACCGTGGGAACCCTGAAAAAATAACGGGTCCTTTGATTTACCAGATTACTGCTTTAAAAATACCTTTGTGACGTTTGTAATTCTGCATTGCAAGACCAAGTTTGACTTTTGTGTAATTAAGTACAGAGCAGTGGGCGGAGATAGGGGATAGGTGAAATCACATTTCCACGGCAAAGCATGCAGGATTACTCAAGCAGGCTTGGATCAATTTAAATTAGGGGTGGGACTTGATTTAAAAAATGATCTAATTAATTACAGCCTCTGTAATTAATCTTAATCACATAATAGTATTTGCTGTACTCATTTACTCATTTTCTTCCAGGCGCCTGTCATTTGTTGGAGTTTGTTCTCTTGTTTGTACTCGGACCAGACCTGCTCCTGCCAACAGCTCCACAGTTTCTGTTCTCACTGTCACATGTTTTGCATTTGTCTGTGATATGCAAACTTTTTGCTGCACCTTTGTCAGTATTTCCATCAGGTAGATTTTTGAATAGAAATTGAGTGTCCAGTAGACTCATGCTCATGTGCATCAGTATAATTGCTGTGCCACGTCATCGTGCACAGATGTTCTGTTTTGTTTGGCAAACTGTGATAAAATGCGTTAATATTTTTAATGCATTTTTTTCTTTAAATGATGAATCATAATTAATGTGTGAAAAATCCCCCAGTCGTCCAGGTAGAATCCAAGGCAGAGGAGAAATTCAATTTGTCAACTGGACAAAAGTTTATTTGGTCGAATACATTTCACAGTTCATCCAAACTGCTTCTTCAGTTCTGGTCAGACGCTGGTGGACACTTCCTTATATCTGCCAACTACACTGAAACTACTCTGAAACTAACACACACACTAGTTTACAGTTTCTGTTTGTAGGTAGGTTAATCATAATTAACGTGTTAATGTCCCAGCCCTAATTTACATACAACTTTTAGTGGGCTAATGATGAGAAAAAAAACATTATAACAGAGTTAATGGTTAATAAAAGTGTGTCCCCTTTAAACAAGGCTTGACTAAAAACACAGAACACCCATGATGGACCCCTGAGGGACCCCGTGATTGAAAGATCATTATAGAGAGTGATTAAAAAAAGGAGAGAGGACTGAAGAGCACCTGAGCTGATGGAGTTGGAGGGTTTGGACACTGGGCCCCCGCGGCCCCGTCCTGAGCTGGAGCCTCTGCCGCGGCCGCCGCGTCTGGAGCCTCGCTCATCACCACCGAGGCCCCGGGGCCGCTGTTCTCGTTCCACATCCTCAGACTCAGACGCATTGGATTGTTCAGAGTTTGTGCCTGGATAAAAAATAAAATAAAAACAAGATTTGTACCAAAACAAAAAGAAAAACATTAATTTACAGTTGTACAAGCTTCACACATTGACAGTAGTAGTAGTAGTAGTAGTAGTAGTAGTAGTAGTAGTAACAGCGTATGAACAGCAAGTTTGTGAAAAACATTTCCACATTCGCTTACAATCCGTGTTTCATTCATTAATTTTTCAAAATAAAACCAAAAAAAAAAGAAAATGCCCCAGGCCCCAGTCCCGGCCCCAGTCCCGGCCCCAGTCCCGGCCCCAGTCCCGGCCCAGTCCCGGCCCCAGTCCCGGACAGGGACAGGAGTGTCGGGACAGGAGTGTCGGGACAGGAGTGTCGGGACAGGAGTGTCGGGACAGGCCTGGGGGTGCGTCCGCATAGACTGTCGGGTGATCAGTCCTGGTTCAGTCCTGGTTCAGTCCTGGTTCAGTCCTGGTTCAGTCCTGGTCCAGTCCTGGTTCAGTCCTGGTTCAGTCCTGGTTCAGTCCTGGTTCAGTCCTGGTTCAGTCCTGGTTCAGTCCTGGTTCAGGCCATTATCCGTTTTTTCCATTTTTCATTTAAACGCAAAATCGAAAACTGAAAAAACGAATCATTATCTGTTTTTTTTCCATTTTGGTTTTGGAGACAAATAATGAAGAAAACAGTTTGGTTTTATATTGAAAAACAAATTAACAAAAGATACACAGATCACTAACTCTACATTTCCTGTTTTAGGGGTAACTACACACTTAAAAATTCTGTTGTTTTTTTGCTTTTAAGCAGTGTGTAGTCTTAAGACAACTACAATAATCACATAACCCAATGATTTGATCTGATATTTGGTGTGTTTACTGAGAAATCTGAACATGTGTCATTAATCAATAGAGTTTTAGAGTAACTAAATAAAGTAGAAAATAAAGTGGATTTGGAGGTGCGTCATGCAAGTGTGGAGCCAAACAGTTTTTTGACGTCCTGTCGCCCTTTTACTTGTTAAAATTCCCTTTTTGCACAATTATATATCCTCAGTAAAGAGTTTTGAACTGCACTTGTGGATTTATTTCACTTTTGAGGCATTTTAAAAGTCGGAACAAGCTGCACAAAGCGTCACATCTACGGCTTCACAAACGTCTGGCCCTCACACTCACCGTATCCGGAGTACTGGTTGTTGTTGGTGCGGCGTCCCCTGCCTCTGCCTCCGTAGGTGCGGGAGGTGTGGAGGGAGTTGCTGCTCTCGTCGGTCAGGTAGCCCTTCTCCCTGTCGCCTCCGGGGCCGCTGTTCCTGCCACTGGGGGGAGCTCTGTAGCCGACCCCGATCTGACGCAGCTGCTCGTCGATCTGCAGACGCTCCAGGCGCAGCTGCTCCACCTCCTGCGAGCAACGCCGGGAAAGAAGAGATGTAACCGGAGTTTTCCACGAGGGTTAACCAAGTGTCACCAGCCTCACCATATTTCATTTGGTTAAAGTTAAATATATTTTCAAAACAGTTCAGTTCGGCTGCATATGAATGAATATATAATGGCTCTTTTTAATTTAATGATGGTTATTTGTGTTTTGATTTATCTGTATTGTGATTTTAATGTATATCTTATTCTATAAAGCACTTGGAATGACTTTGTGTATGAATTGTGCTGCAAAACAAACTTGCCTTGCCTTTTACTGATGGGAAATGCTTACAATAACTTCAAACAAGTTACGGCTGAACTTTTTCCGATCGAGAATTAAGTTGTGGTGACATAATTCTACCATTAGGTGCCGGTAAAGCCCCTAAAACAAGAGTCTCCAACCTTTTTCCTCCGGTGAGCTACATTTACAAAACAAAAATGCGAGAGAGAGACACGCAGAGAGCTGCTCATTTTAGCTGCTGCAAGAAAATGAGAAAGTATAAAAGCCGCTGCGAGACTTAAATGGGGCACAGTCAGAGGCGGCGCTACCATTAGGCAAAAGTAGGCGGCTGCTTAGGGCCCCCAAACCTAGAGGGGCCCCCCCAACTAATTTCCCTCAGTGCCACTAATGGCAGAGGCCTCAGAGCAATTTGATTTTCTCTCAATATGACATTAAATGAGAGTAGCTTTAAACAATAACCATAAGAAGAAAAAAAAAAATAATCAAATGTAATGGATGTAAACAAAAATGTAATTGTACTAGTACTCCAGTAGGCGACTGAACTAATAAGACAAGTTTCCAATCCACCATAATTCAAATAAATAGAGATGTCAATGTCTCAAGAACAATGGGGTAATAACAGACACTACCGGTCAAAAGTTTTAGAACACCACACTTTTTCTAGCTTTTTTACTGTTGACCAAAACATATTTTAAACTTTAGATTGACGTGTGTGTCCACCTTTGGCAGATAGAACAGCTGAACTCACTCGTGGCAGAAAGTTCTTCCCGAGTCTGTTGCAGAAGTTTCCATAAATGTGTGACACTTGTCGGTCGCTTCACTCTTCTGTCCAGTTCATCCCAAACCAGCTCGATGGGGTTTAACTCTAGACACTGTGCTGCTGGACACACATGTTTTCAAGTTTTACCATCTTGTTTTTTTTCCTGAGGTGGTTTTGGCAGAGCTTGGACTTGTGTTTTGTTCATTTATCTTTTTTTTTTTTTTTAACCTCTGTCTGTTCAGTTTTTACCTTTGTACCATTTCAAGCTCTTCATTGGACTTGAATTGCAATAAATAACTGGAAAAATTAGGGTGTTCTAAAACTTTTGACTGGTAGTGTATATATTAAAAAAACAAACAAACAAAAAAAACAAAAACAAAAACTGTGTATTATAGTGAGGGCCCCAAACTCAAGTTCGCCTAGGGCCCCCAAATTGCAAACTCCGCCACTGGGCAGAGTTAGATGTCTATGAAACATAAACCATTACCCATTTATCAGTGCACAAAGTCAGACATCTAAATGAGAGATTTGCAGTGACAATTAATCAAATATTAGTTATTCAGAAATGTCTTGGCGAGCTACATGTTTCTACGGAGTTACAGGTTGGAGACTCTTGCTCTAAAAAGTTTCATAATTGCAGTCATTTTTATTCACTCTTCACAAACTTAAATTTTCCTTGGCATCCAGCCCACACACTAGTGACTGAGGTATCAAAAAGTATTGATTCGGGAGGAGAAAAAAAAAAAAAATCAATGCTTAAAATGTCTCAAAAAAAGTAAATTTGTACTGCCCATATATTTAAATCTTAGAACACTTCAAGTTAGAGCGAAAATAATGAGACCTGCTTTCCATCAAGATCGAATTCGTTCAGTGCAATTTGAAACATCTCATTTTGTATCACTATGTGGAGTAAGGCCGGGTGTACAATGTGCAATTTTTGGCGCTTTTTGAGACGATTTTTCACTCGTGCGACTGTTTTTGGGGGTTTTCAATCATGCGTCGTGCTTCGTGTAGTAAACATGGGGTAACGAGAACCGACTAATGTCTCACGACCAGCTCCCAATCAGCAATCGTAGGTCGCAAGAAAATCAAACCTGTGTGAAATCTAGTCGACTCTTGTGAGGGTTTTCGCTCTGTCTAGGTCACAGGTGTCAAACATGCGGCCCGGGGGCCAGATCCGGCCCTCCAAGACCTTTAATCGGCCCTCGGCTGATTTTCTACTAAAATATTTTGATTCTATTTTTTATTAAAATCTTGTTAATTTTCTGTGGTGTTTATCACAGCAGCGTCTCCAGCGTCTCTGTACGTGGCCCCTCCCACCAGAGCAGCATAAATGAAGACTTGTCTCTTTCCAAACGCTCTTAAAGGACGATCGTTTCGACTGTTGACCGTGAAACCCTCATCAGAAAAATGTCAAAAATGAGAAAAGTGGAGCCAAGTGCAGGATTTTACAAGAAAAACTTACTTATTTCTAATTATACAAGTTCATGTTAAACAAGTTCATGTTAAAATATTGTGTTGAAATGGTATTTTTCTTAAAGTTTCAGGTTGTTCATAATATTATAACATTTTGTAAAAGAAAGAATTCATCAATTAAAAAAGATTTCAGTAAGAGATTTGTATTTCTCTGCACAAATATTTGAACTTATTGTTATTTTTGGGGTTTATATGACATGAGTTTTCTGATCTGGCCCCTTTGGGATCAAAGTCGGTTGGATACGGCCCCCGGACCAAAATGAGTTTGGCACCCCTGTTCTAGGTCTTTCGTAAAGTGTGAGAACATGAATCGTGAGCTGTGAACTTTTAAAACCCTGAGCTGGGGCTGAGTGAAACAATCAAAAATATCGCAGAGCGTACGTCCGGGGTTAATATGATTAACTGAGATCCAGGAGCAGGACAACGCCTTGACCTCCCTCTCCTCCTTCTCACCAACGAACCACAGCTCACCTCGACCACACCTCGAATTTCCCAGAAGCCTATTTGTAGCAGCCTATCCCATCATCTCAATCTTGTCTTTCAGCTATAAGACATCTACAAAAGGAGGGGTCCCGCACCAGCTGGGCCAACTGATTGATCGATACGGAGCCCCAACCCTGAGTCTCAACCCAGCCACCTGTACCTCATTCATCCCATCGTTCATCTCACCATTCATTAATAAATATCATCATTGCACCGCCGTATTCCAGAATCGGAAAACCACACTGCAAATTTCTCTGATCTGGCAAAGATTCAGGTTATTATTCATCTTGTTTTCACATTTTTAATCTATTTACTAGTTCTGAGATGATTAATCCTAGTCTAGAGTTCGTTTATTTTAAGTTAACTTGTAAAGTAAAATGTTCTTGCTGCATGGACAGATAATTTCACTACTTTTAAACCATTTACAGTTTACATTGTACATTTTGGCCAAGCTTTTTGACTGATTGTACAGAACTTTAAGGTTTACTTAAAGGAAGAGCCTTGAGCATTGTTTCGCAAAGACTGGGTCATGATCCTCAGGTGAGTCGCAAGAGATTTTATTTTTTTGCGTCGCCTTGTGGCTCTGCAATCTACAGTTGTAAACATTGATCTGTGATTTTATCGTCATTCTGGATCAGCGTTTTGTCACAATATCATGTCCAGTATTTCTATGCTTATTCCTTTCACTACTACATATAGGTAAGTGTGTGAATTTGGATTTTCTGTGCTCACAAAATTAAGACAAAGCACAGAAACAGACTGAATGCTGCTCCTCCTACACCCGGACTGAACACGCTATAAAAACACAGACAGGTCCAACTATCTCACTAGAAATGTTGAAATGTTAAGACATGTTAAACCGTGTCTTATTCGTTCATTCGTTTTTCAAAATAAAACCAAAAATAACAATGAAAATTTATGAAAAAACAACAATTTTCTGAAAAACAAAATGAAAAAATGGATAATGATTCGTTTTTTTCAGTTTTCGATTTTGTGTTTAAATGAAAAATGGAAAAACGGATAACGACCGTTTCCCGTTTACGTGACTTAAACTGCGATGCCGGACTGAACCTGGACTGAACCAGGAATGAACCAGGTCCGGGATCAGACCAGAAGCTGACCAGGACCATTCATTTAAACACAAAATCGGAAACTCAAAAAAAAAACAATCGTTATCCGTTTTTCCATGTTGGTTTTGGAGACAAATAATGAAGAAAACTGTTGTTTTTTTGTTTTCTTATTTTTTGTTTTATTTTATTTTGAAAATCTAATCAACTTATGACACATGGATTAATGTTTTTGTATCATTTCTATCATTTCTTTTTGTTTTGTTTTGTTTTTTGACTATTTTGTTCCAATATTGCTGCTTCAATTGAATATTTTGGCCTTTATTTAATTTCCAAATAGTTGACTTATGGATCCTTTTATTTCTGCTTCAATTTCTGTTTTTCTTTGTTTAAAACTTGAGTAATACTAATTGTTCAGCGACACGATCACTCAGTCAACAATAAAATATCCTCATTAATGTTCAATAATGCTCCAATCCAGCTTTATTTTGTGATTTACGAATGTCTTTTATTGACTTTGGTCGCGAAGGTTTGTGACTTTTAAAATATGGTTCCCCAGAAAAAGAAGTTTGGGAAACATTGGCCTTAGATTTATCCAGAACAACATTAGAGTAACTCCCACTTTCTGGACACTTGTTACATGATTTGACCTCTTTCTAAATCCCCCGGTTTAGAGTCCGGGGGAGGCGACCATTTGGAAATAATTGGAGAGGCAACTTCCTCGTAAACCACGCCGCGGCAGTGCACAGGCAGCAAGTTTGATCCGAGCCTCTCACCTCGGCAGCTGCCTCACCCCGCGACAGCTGCAGCTCCGGGGTGAGAAGGAAGTGAGGCGAGGGGTATTTATGGAAGCCCCCTCCCTCCTCCACTGATAGCCGGTAATCTAAACTCAGGAATCTACCCCCCGAGCCTACAAACGGCACGGGTTATTTATAAAAGCGCATGAGGTAAGGGCAAAATGTGGCACCCTCAGCAGCTCTGATCATAGAAGGAGACAGGTGTAGAGAAGAAAAAAACGAGTGCTCTAAAAGTATTTAAAGAAACTGTTGTGTGATTTTAAGTTTTGGGGTAAATTGAGGTGCGGTTTGGGGAGTAAGCGGCGCCCTCTTGTGGCGAGGCGGACGAACCTGGAGGTAGGACACGTGGTACTCCAGCAGGGCCTGAGCGTTGCTGATGTTCTCCTTGGTGCCCACGAACACGAACGGAACCATGCCCTGGAGACAAGAGAGATTGTTAGTCAACGTAATCACAAATTACGTGAAGTCTACACACAGATTTCAAGTCGTTTTCCATTTTGAGAAACATGGTGAGGAGAAAAATCAGTTTGGAGTGGACAAAAGTTAGTTTGGTTGAAGACGTTATAACTTTTTTACAACCTCTATACCCTGTATCATATTTTGATGAACTTTTGCTAGTAATGAAAGGAATTGGCCTTCAGTTGGTCATATTTTTGAAAAAAGTCCCCCAGACGAAAAATGAAGTTTTGGCAAAGCAACAACCAGAATAAAACTGTTAGAAAGTTAATATCTGTTCAATCATAAAATAACCAAAGACAATTTTCTCTTTAATAACACAGGAACAAAACACATAATCAGGGTAAAGATCATTTAAAATAGGCCACTAAAAGTCCAAAAATGATGATTGTCAGTGTTGTTAGCGACGATGAATCGAATGGTTTATAAAGTCAAAGCAAGAACAGAAAGTGAAACTCCAGTATATTATGATGACAGTACAACTTATTACTGATCCACTTTCAGTCCAATTGACTTGTAATGGTCCTTGTGATAAGTTAGCACGGTTTCACATTTCATATCATCGGCTGTAAAGTGTATTTAATGTGTTTTTTATTTCGGGGGGACTTTTTTAAAAGAGTGTTGAAAATGGAGTTTGGTTTCTTCAATTATACCAAAAAGTTCATCACATCATGATGCAGGACTTTGATTTTGGAAAAAAAAAAGTTCAAAAAGTTATAACCCTAGTGGACACTTCCTTATATCTGTCTGCAGGGAGGAGCTAACTACACTGAAACTACTCTGAAACTAACACACCTACTTGTTTACAGTTTCTGTTAGTTGGTTCGGCCTATTGACAGGATGTGGGGTCTAATTAACATAATTCATGGCCATAATGGAGCTTCCACCTCTGGACCTGACCTGGCTCCACCTGTTGTTCTCTTGTTTGTTTTGATTTAGGTTTGAGGATGGAGTTGTAAATAGGAGAGAGATGGTGTCTGAGTCCATTTATGTTTAGAGAAGGATTATATTTCTTAACAAAAATGGCTTCTTTCTCTCCCCTCTCAAACCAGTTCTTTTCTCTGACTAAAATCTGTACCTCGCTGTCCTCAAATGAGTGTCCCGTGGCTTTTAAGTGGAGATGAACAACAGACTGAGGTCCACTGTTGCTCTCTCTGTGTCTGTGTTGGTTCATCCTCCTGACATTATTTAAAATGTTATTATTTTATATTCTGCTTGTTCTGGATTCAGTGTTAAAGCAAAACTCATCATTTAACATTTTTTCAATAAGAAAAGGTTTAACATTACATATCTCGAAAGAAGAGAAAACATGCAGATGGTGTTGAAATTTTGCTACAAATATTTAGTTTGACCCACGACTTAGACCCAGTTTTTAATTTTGGTCCTGTGTGAATTTGAGTTTGACACTACTGGTCTAATGAACTTAACAGAACGCTGGAGCTGCGTGAAAAAGATACTAAGGCTACGTTTATATGACGACGGTCTGAACAGAAGACGTAAAAGTGGCGTCGCGTCTTCACTTTTTATTCCGTGTTTAGACGAGCGTTTTCGGGAGGAGATCTGCGTGTATACGGTGACGCAAAAGTGTGCGGAATTCGATTGTGTATACATGCCAGGCTGGCTCGGTGGTGATGTATGTGACCTGAGCAGATCTGACCAGAGTTTTGCGTCTTGGGCAGTGTAGACGGAAACACTACGACGGAACGTATTCAACTTTTCCACTCTGGAGTGTGGTTTCAGATTTTTGCGTTTTTAAGCCCCAAAAACGCCGTCACCGTCTAAATGATAGGCACTTCCCATAAAATATTTTGTCGTTTATGTAAACAGACCCTAAAATCCCCAAATTTTTCTAAAACTTTCATTGAATTTACAAAACTTCTGTGACTTTTAAAGATTTCCATGACTGTGGGAACTTTGGAACATTCCTTGAAAGCGAGAACATCTCCACGGAGACAATCAGGTGGTTGAGAAGTGTTCAGTCGTCAAATAGTTACGACTTTTTAAACTGTGACGTCTACAGCCAATCAGTAAAAACATGCAGTTTGAGTGAGTTTTTTTTTTTTTATTAAATGGTACTACTTAAAAGTCTTTTCTCGTAAATTCCATATTTTTCCACGTACATGTTTTGAATGTTTGCCTAGTGGTTCCAGACACGCAGCGTTTTATAATTTTTCTATTGTGCAAACCAGAGGCATTGAACAAAGTGAGTAACACAAGTGCTGCCATGTTGACTGACACGAACAGCACGGGGGACGACGACAGCGACAAGGCAAGCAGAGCAGAAGTGTGTCAGCGCAGACAGCAAGGGGGACACGGACATGCGGCTGTGGGAGGAGGAAGGAGAGGAGGAGGAGGAGGAGGAAGAGGAGGAAGAGGAGGAGGTACAGACCAGGGGCTGTCCGAGCGGTTCATTCACCTGTTGGCTGCCTACCTCCTCACGGGGAAGCTTTTTGTCATTGTCCCCCTCGATCCTGACGCGCACCACCCCCGATTTGTCCACGATCTCCTGGATGACTTTGCCGTTTTTGCCGATGACTTTGCCTAAAATACAAAAAAATAAAAAATATTAGAAAGAAGTCATATAAAAGTTTGTCTGGTTGATTATGGAAAACATCATTATCACGACTGTTTTGGTCAGAGGCGAGGTGGTTTTAGGGAGTAAAAGTTTTCAGAAATATTCGTGTGCATAGAAGAGAAATCGGTGCATATTTGTCTGTAGTTGAGCATAAAATAAATGTTCGTAAACTCTCGAATGAGTCCAGTCATACATAAAATGTGTTGTGTGTGCTTTATCCATCAGACTACAAACTGAAAAGTTGCGACATCAAGAATTACAATCATGAAATGAAAATGTACAATGACGCTTTCTTCAGTACAAACACGAATACACAGACCAGGACTAAACGAGGACTAAACCATGAGGACTGAATCAGGACTAAACCAGGAGGACTAAACCAGGAGGACTAAACCAGGAGGACTAAACCAGGAGGACTAAACCGGGTCTAAAAGAGGTCTAAAAGAAGTCTAAAAGAGGACTAAACCAGGACTAAACCCTTTTCTTCTGTGGTCACCCGACAGTCTATGCGGGCGCACCTCCAGGCTTGACCTGAGACTGAGTCCAGCTTGAGTCCAGCTTGAGCCCAGCTTGAGCCCAGTTTGAGCCCAGCTTGAGTCCAGTTTGAGCCCAGTTTGGGCCCAGTTTGGGTCCAGTTTGGGTCCAGTTTGGGTCCAGTTTGGGTCCAGTTTGGGTCCAGTTTGAGCCCAGTTTGAGCCCAGTTTGAGCCCAGTTTGAGCCCAGTTTGAGCCCAGTTTGAGCCCAGTCCTTGGATCAGTCCTGGGATCAGTCCTGGGATCAGTCCTGGGATCAGTCCGTATGCGGCACAAAAATCCAGCATCTCAATCGTTTTTTTCTTCCGCCTGTGAAGTTCTGACGTATTTCTGACGAGTCGAGTCTTGTCTGTGAATTCATATTCGTACTGAAGAAATCATAATCGTAAATTTTCATTTTGTGATTCTAATTCTTGACGTCGTAACTTTTCAAATCGTATTCAGACGGATAATATACGCACAACACATTTTATGTTCAACTGGACTCACTCGAGAGTTTACGAATATTTATTTTATGCTCAACTACAGACAAAAATGCACGGATTTCTCTCGTATGCACACAAATATTTCTGAAAGCTTTCTCACTCCATAAATACATGCATGTTTAAGGTTTGTACCAGATTTATTCCCCCATGTATCTGAGCAAAAAGTGCAGGGGTATATTGTACAAACAGAGCTTGAGGTCAATCTAATTATAAATCCTTTTGTTGACCAATAATCAGGAAGTGCTTGTTTTGCTTCCCAGTTGCTGTAAGCTTCAGCGTGATGGCAAAGTTTTTCTTCATGCTTCATTAGGGCTAATTAACGTGTAATTCGATATTACGGTAACGATTTACTGTAGAGACTATTAGACAAACCAAGTAGTTAATTAGATCTTCGCTGGTGTTTATAAAGTCGCTCGTGTTTTACTCTGGATCTCTGAGTGGACCGACTCTTACCGACAAGGTTTCTGGGAACTTGAAAGTAGTCTTCTTTGAACTCAAGGTATTCTCTGGCTTGTTTCACGGCTTCTGGGGTCTGCCGGAAAAAAACAAAGAAAGCAAATGAGTTTTAAATTACTAAAGATCTGAATGCAGTTTTCATTTCAGTTGAATCGCGTTTTACTTTGTCGCTCCTTGACCTGAACGGCCCCGTATTCAGTTTGTGGAATAAGCCGATCGGAAACATGCTTTTAAACCTGGTTCGTGCAGATGTGGGCAGCTCTAATGAATATGTGAAATGTTTTGAGATATCCGCAGTGAATACCAAGTGTCAATGTGGGCAAAATGAGACGTGAAAGCTGCAGGACGCGGTGGAATTCAACATGTAAAGTGAAGGTTTACTTCTGTGTTTTCTGTCAGTGTGGCACCTCCTCACACCCACTGAGATTTTTGACTTTCAGAACAGAGTTTAGAGTTTTTTTATTTGAACATTTATTTAAAAAAGGCATGAAGGCATAAAATATAGTCTCCATACTCTCAGAACATGAACATTTAACAAAGAAATAAACAAAGTAATGCTAAAAAAAAAAAGAGTAGGAAGAAGTACAGCTTATTATAATCCTACTCCTACAGTATTTTTCAGACTATAAGTGTCACTTTTTTTGTGGTTTGGGTGTTTGTGACTTATACTTCAGTGCGACTTCTATATTAAAATGTTTGAGTGAAGCGTGGAGAGGTTCTAGTCTTGTGTGTGAGTATCTGCTGCTCCTGTTCCGCCTGTGCCACTGTCACTTGGCTCTACTGCGCATGTCTCCTGCAGAAAGAGCCTCTGTCCTGTCTGTGTCATGACAGTCGATCGCACCGTTACTTCTGCACCACTGAACAATTTAACACTGAAACAAAGTTATAAAGACGACTGAGAAGACTGAACACAAATGCCCTAAAAAACAAAATCAGATTCTGCAGATTACAAACTGCGAGTCGTGAAATCTGCAGCTGAAAACGGAAATCGAGCAGCAGAAAGAAAGTTTGGAGCAAGAGAGAAACTTTCCTGAAGTCACTGGATGGATGGACAAAGCCTGGAACTGGAACTGATGCTGAGACTACGTTTACGCTGAAACGAATTACCGTATCAGAAACGAATTGTGTCCACAATCAAAGCCTTCCCTATCCACACAGCTTTGAGCACATTTGTTTACATTTTACATAAATGAAACTTAAAACCGCATGGGTAATTTGCATAAACTGAGCGCTCAAAAATACAGCTTGCTTTTGTTTCCTGATGCGGTTCAGATTCTGTCGGACTAATGGACACGGCTCAGTGGAATATGAGTGTTCTTTCTGTGACAGAGGGATGTTCTGCTGATGGTGAGTCTGTTCTGAGTTTCTGTCGTGTTGGAGATGGTTCATGTGAAACTTTTCAGAGATTATACGTCTGCAGGTCGTACACACACACACACGTTTATATGAATGGACATATATTTTAGTCTCTTAGCGTTTTGGCGGTGAATTACTTCGCGGTGCACAGACCTACATCAGAGTATCAGTGTTTTCAGGCGTCCACACGGTGCTGGATCAGATCTGTACTCGGATGAATTCGTGGGAGCTGGAGGCACCAGATCTTTCCGTCTCTGGAGCCGTTTTCCATCGGATTAATGTCGACGAACACTGCACCCACAACGAAAAGGACTCGAATACTGACTAGTGTGGACGGGGCCTGAGTCTGGTGACAGCGACAAAGAAGAGGAAGCGGCGCTCTGTTTACCTCCGGAGGTCGAGGCCGAGTTGCTCAGAAGTGACACCGAGGATGAAGAATTGAATGGATTTAGTGATTTGGAGTGAGATGGAGAGTTTGGTAAACTTCTTCTGTTCTGTTGTTTATGTTATAGTTTATCTGAAGAACTGTTCATATGTGTCGATAACGGTCTGTTGTTCTTCTTCTATTGTTTTTATGAGAACTTGACCTTCAACAAGAAATGTCATTTCCTGGTCTGATTTTATCAAATAAATTTCCCCCCAAAAACTGCCACTTATATGTTTTTTTCTTCTTCAGTACATATTTTTTGGCTGGTGCGACTTAAAATCCGAAAAATACAGTAATTAGTGTATTATAATTGTAAGTGACGTTGAAGACCCGATTAGAGTCCCATCCCTCTTGGAAAGCTTTGTCAGGTTCTGAAGACACTGCTGCTCAATCCACGGTTTTAGAACATGCCCAGTGTCGGGAACTACACAACTCGTCCTGCACATGTTTCCAAACGTCTTCCTACCTCTCCGTAGATCCTGAACGTGCAGCTCTCCTCTTCCAGTTCGATCGCCGTGACCCCGGGAACCTTCCGCGCCTGCTGGATGTTGGCGCCGTGCGAGCCGATGGCCAGCCCCATCAGGTCCTCCCTGACCCGCACCTCTTCCTGATATGCCGACGCTAGCTGCTTACTGGTCTGAAAGCACAGAGAGACGACGGAATAAATTCGACTTCTCTTCACGCCAAGTTTACGTCTTGGTGCGTACTCACCTCTAAATGTTTGGTGGCCTCTTCGTTTCTGGACATTAACATGAGTTTGGTTCGGATGCTGCGGAAATGCATGTCGCTCAGAAGGGTCGCGCGCTTTACTGTGGTTTCATTTGTCGACTGGGGAAAAAAAAAGACAAACCAGAACAATTATAAAACAGAAATATGCCAACATTTTCAGTCTGGAAATAACATTTTGCTGATCAGTTATTTGAGGTCAGGGATGTGTACAGAACACAGCAAAGAATTCAGCTATAATATTTTTCCTGGGCCATTATATATTAATTTTAAATCACACAGAGACATTTACTAAAAAAAATGAACTGCATCAAGTAGAGAAATAAAGGCTCCTGTAACACTGGCCACGTTTACATGATGGTTTTTAATTCTGAATTAACTGTTCTGAATTAAATAGTTCGGTATTAAAGTATTCTCCTTCGAGTTTACGTGGAAATAATAATTCCGAATTGAGGTTTACATGGAAAACACGTTAAATTGTCTTTATTTAATTCCGTTCAGCGTCTGGGGGTGGGGAAGGGTTCGAACACATTTACGTCGACCGCAAGAAAACACACACTTCAGCTGCTACTGGCTTTTCTGATCTCTGTTTGTCGTTATGCCACGGACACAAACATGATCCAAACTTTTCCCGCAGTGGTTCCAATCATAATTGCGCAGCAGCTGGAGAATTCTCTCATCACGCTTCACGTTGAAGGGAAGAGTGTCGGAGAAGGGAGGAAGAAGACAAAGTGAGTGTGAGGCTGCTCTACCTCAGCCCACTCCCACATCCCGCTTACAAATCCAAAGAGACGTGGAGGAAAGTCCGAAGACAAGACTGGTGGAGCCGGATCGTCCGGATCGCGTCAGAAGGGCAACACAATGAGCAAGTGCTGAACGAATGGGAATATTTTTATTTGGAAGAAGAAACCTGCACGTGATCAAGGAATAAATTAATACGGCTTTAAAATTGGAATAAACCACCCACTTAGAGTTACTACAGGTTTCTTCAAGTTAAATTCAAGTCTTTTAAGAGCTTTTCAAGACCATTTATATAAAAACTAAGGTTATGTTTACACTGAAATGAATCGCCATATCGGAAATGATGTGTGTCCAGACATGATCCACACAGTAACACGAGACCACCTGAAATGATGGTCACATGACTAGGCTGGCATCACGACGTCACATGGGCGGTAAAAACAAAGAAGTGGAGCACCGTGTCTGAAGTTACAGCTACTTGTTTTCAGGCCAAGGAAGATGGCAAGCGTGAAAACAATCTTTTCTACTACCAAGTAGTTCTAGCTCCACTGTCTCCTATTTGTCTGTGTTTTGTTTAAACTGTTTTCCGCAATAGCGTCACATGACCGATGTCACAAACCCAGAGAATCAGGAAGGTGCAAGTCACAGTGGCGTGGTCCAATAAGGACGAAACTAGAGCTCATATGTCAGAGTATCAGTGTTTTCAGGCGTCCACACGGTGCCAGATCAGATCTGTACTCAGATGAATTCGTGGGAGCTGGAGGCACCAGATCGTTCCGTCTCTGGAGCTGTTTTCCATCGGATTAATGTGAACTAACACTGCACCCACAACGAAAATTACTCGAATATGTACTAGTGTGGATGGAGCCTTAATACCTATTTCACAGCCTATTTCATAGAACTGCAGGCAAAGAAAAACTAAATTCTTGAAAACTATTTAAGTGACGTTGTTTAACCAGATAATGGTGCTTGACAAATTAAATTTTGAGGAGAAATTCAATACTGAGAATTGAAGTACTGCACAAATTTAAAAACCCAAAAGTCGTTTTCCAGTCTTTTGAAGGTATTTTCCAAATTCATAGACTAGACTTTTTAAGACACTGCGGGAACCCTGACTTCAGAATTAAGTTTGATTCTGAATAATCATTTTCATTAGGAGTAAGTGTTTACGTGGTCTTTTTAAAGCGGAATTAATTTTTATTTGGAATTAAAGCTCTCATGTAAACGTGGCAACTGTGGCATAATGAAATCAGTGAATAAAAACTCCCGAAAAAAAAAAAAAACCTGCACTCTGACCGTCCACCACATCCCGGCGTCGCTCACTCACCAGCACTATGAGCTCGTGTGTCTGGGCGCTGTAGAAGATGCAGTTGGCTCCGATTGCTTTCCTGAAGTCTTTGTGGATGCTGTCGTTTGCACAGCTGTGGACAGAAACAAGAGTCTCAGGGGGTGACAGGAGCAGTGACAGGAGCAGGGACAGGAACAGGAACTCACATGTCTCGTAGGTCTTCTGGTACGGGGATGGGCACCTTGTGGAAGGAGTTTTTGGACGAGGGACTGTTGGGGTTGACGGGCCGGATGCGCTCTGACGTGACGATTTCGTTGTACGTGGCGTCGCAGGCGGCGTATTCGATCACGTAGAACTGGAGAGAGGACAGGAAACACCAGACAATGTTTATTTTATTCATAATCACAAAAAGCATGAGTGGGTGTTGGTGTTGTCATTGCCACTTTTGTACCAGAAACCCACTTTTCATCTTTAGCTAAACCATGTGTGTATCAAAAACCATTAATAATACTAAAATAAAAATAATAATAAAATACTACTACTACTAATAAAAATAAATAAAATACAATACTAAATAATAATAATAATAATAATAATAATACCGATACTAATAAAAATACTACTACTACTAATAATAATAAATAAGTACATAAATAAATAAATAAATAAGTAAATAAATAAATATCAATAAAATTATTATTATTTAAATAAATAAGTATTATTTAAATAGTAGTGGAAATAATAGTATTTTTTAAATTATCATTATTTACATTATCATTATTATTATATTATTATATTTTTATTTTATATTTTATATTTTTATTATTACTCTTATTATTACTACTATTTTTATTTTTATTATTATAAACTTTACAGATTATATTGTTTTTATTATATTTTTTAAAAAGGTGCAGTATGTTCCTTAAAACCGTATTCTGGAACATTCTCCATGGACATACAGTTGGTTTTATTCCGTACTGTACATAGCCTTTTATTTTTGTATATTTTAACGCTAAAAAGTTACATGACGTGGCTTTAATACTGATAATTAAGAACATTTATCACAACACACTGGTGAAAGAAAACTATGAGTTAAAGTAGAGGCAGTTAGGGACCATGCTACCAAAATGGCAAAAATCTTATTATAATTAAGATTATTATTATTATTATTATATTAACTGTGTGTGTGATTAGTTTGTTATTTTATGTTCACGAACACAAACTCCAAACCTGATAAATCTGTTGTAAAAACTGTGCAAAAGTAGGTTTCTGGTACAAATTAAAGAGGAAATGACAGGTGCTTTTTGACATTTACAGTTTTAAAGATGCACTGTGTAACTTTTCCGGTGGAGGATTCCCCAGCTGCTCATCGTCGTGCTGATGTAACTGTTTTGCCTAGAATGTCCCCAACTACAGAAATGCACACATCCTGTTGTGTGCAGAGGGTGACCAGACTTTCAAAATAACAAACTGGGACATCCCCTAATTCGTGTGTCATTCGTTCATTTGTTTTTCAAAATAAAACCAAAAATGAGAAATTGAAAAAGACAACTATTTTCTTTTCTATATGGAATTTTTTTTTTTTAAAGATTTGTTTTTTCAGTTTTCACGGCTTAAACTGTGATGCCGGACCAGGACTGAACCAGGACTGAACCAGGACTGAACCAGGACTGAACCAGGACTGAACCAGGACTGAACAAGACTAAAACAAGACTAAAACAGACTAAACCAAGACTAAACCAAGACTAAAACAAGACTAAAACAAGACTAGGACTGAACCGGGACTGAACCAGGTCTACACAAGGTCTAAACCAGGACTGGAACCAGGACTGGAACCAAGACTAAAACAAGTCGTGGTCCTGGTCGCGGTCCTGGTCACTCAACAGTCTACGTGGGCGCACCTCTGGGCCCATCCTGAAACTCCTGGTTCAGTCCTGGTTCAGACCTGGTTCAGTCTTCGTTTGGGATCAGTCCTTTTTTAATCCTGGTTCAGTTCTGGTTCAGTCTGTTATCCGTTTTTTTCCCCCCATTTTTCATTTAAACACAAAATCAAAAACTGAAAAAAATTATCATCTGTTTTTCATTTGGGTTTTGGAGACAAATAATGAAGAAAATAGTAAATTTTTTGTTTTCTTATTTTTGGTTTTATTTTGAAAAACGAATGATACACAGATTCTCAGTTTTTCTGGTGGTTTGTAATAATAAAATTATGAAACGAGTGCGTAATTAAGGAAAACTGTCACGCACTCGGGACTAACATGAGTCAGTATAGTCACATTTTCTTTGTTTTTTGTCCGTTTTTTTAACAGCTTTTCTGTATTTTACCCAAACAACTTTAAATTTTTGCCTCTTTTTACTGTTGGCAGGGATCAAATTGGTCAAAAATAGAGACATTTCTTGTATAAAAATGGGACAAATCACTGGTTTGGACACAGGGCTTAAAACTGGGACTGTCCCGGGAAAATAGGCTCGTCTGGTCACCGTACACCTGGTCAAAGTACAGCTCAGATCTATGGAGAGTCCGTTATTTGCGATGCATTTCTAGTAATTCCTATATTCATATATGAATAAATGAAAGATATAGATATACTGCGGAACATTCCAGGCAAACCAGAAAAGTTACACAGACCTTTAAGTGTAATTTGAGCTACATAAAGGAAAAGGTTAAAAGTCACAGAACTTAATGCAGCACAAGGCAAAGTACAACACAGAACAGGCATCCAGGAAAAAACACAAAACATGCTTTTCTGACCAGCTAAATACTACTAAAGGTTTATAATCCGTGTGTCATTTGTTCATTTCTTTTTCTAAATAAAACCAAAAATAAGAAAATGAAAAAACAACTATTTTTCTTCATTATTTGTCTCCAAAACCAAAATGAAAAAACAGATAATGATTCACTTTTTCAGTTTTTGATTCTGTGTTTAAATGAAAAATGGAAAAAATGGATATTGATCGTTTCCTGTTACGGACTGAACGAGGAATGAACCAGGTCTAAACCAGGTCTAAACCAGGTCTAAACCAGGTCTAAACCAGGTGTAAACCTGGACTAAACCAGGACTAAACCAGGACTGAACTATGACTGAACTACTGTGCGACTGAACCAGGTCTGAACGAAGACTGATCCCAGGACTGATCCCAGGACTAAATCGGTCTTGGTCCCATTTACATGACTTAAACCGAGAAGTTGGACTGAACCAGGACTAAACAAGGACTAAACCAGGACTAAACCAGGACTAAACCAGGACTAAACCAGGACTAAACCAGGACCAAACTGGTCTCGGTACCGGTCCTGTTTACATGACTTAAACCGAGATGTTGGACTGAACCAGGACTGAACCAGGACTAAACCAGGACTGAACCAGGACTGGTTCAGTCCTGGTTCAGTCCTGTTATCTGTTTTTTCCATTTTTCATTTAAACACAAAATTGAAAATTTTAAAAAACGAATCATTATCTGTTTTTTCATTTTGGTTTTGAAGACAAATAATGAAGTGAAAGTGAAAATTGTTGTTTTTGGTTTTATTTTGAAAAACAAATGAACAAATGACACACAGATTGCTGATAATGCGAGCTGGTCTGTTTTTTTTTTCTCAGTTTGAGGATTAGTCACGATTAATAACATAACTGTTAATGGGTTAGTATAAGAAACTAAAACGGTGTAATTAGAGATGAGCTCATTTACCCACACTGTAAAAATATCCTTGTGGCCTGCATAATCTCTAATGTTTAAATTTGTGACCGATGTAGCGCTGTGCAATTACTTGAACTTTGAGATTCATTCCTCTCTAAACATCTATCGTCTTTTAAAATGGAGATGTTAGGACCCAGCTCGCTCGGGTCGGGGACGTAACACAAACCAAGATGGAAAATGGTATAAATAAAAGTAATAATTAAAAAAACAGGAAAGTGAAAGGTAAAACAAAAGTCGTCTAAAATATGTACACAAAATAACCTAAACTACAAAATAAGACGAACATATAACGAGTTTTGTGTCAAATCAAGTCACGTAAGTTTATACTGAAAAAGAACAGAGCGACTAAACTAAAGGACATGTAAAACAAAACTAAATCATGAGTGTCCCAAAATAAAAATCACAGCAAATCCTCTGTCGGTAAATGTTTTTGGAGCAGAAGAAATTTTATGGAGAATTCAATGATCACTGATGCAATTCCACTCCCAAGCTCTTGGTGGCAGTAGACGTAATGCGTCAGTACAACTTAATGGGAGAAGAGACAGACCTGTGGAGGGTTTTGTTTACCGTCTATGTTTGTATTTGCATTTGAATTAATCATTTGTGTGCTCGGATGTTCCCTGAATGTAACATGTGGCCCTTTAATTTGGGCGCCCTTTCAGAAAAAACTGCGATGCCGGACTTTTGCACAGCATACAAACTGAGCCAGGACTGAACCAGGTCTTAAATCAAGACTAAACCAAGGCTGACCCAGGACTAAAACAGGTCTAAAACAAGTCTAACCCAGGACTGAACCCAGGACTAAAATCAGGACTGAACCCAGGACTAAAATCAGGACTGTAACATGCCTAAAACCAGGACTGATCCCAGGACTGACACAAGTCTAAAACAGGTCTATAACAAGTTTAAAACAGGTCTATAACAAGTTTAAAACAGGTCTATAACAAGTTTAAAAACAGGTCTATAACAAGTTTAAAACAGGTCTATAACAAGTCTAAACCCAGGACTGAACCCAGGACTAAAATCAGGACTGATCCCAGGACTAAAACAGGACTGATCCCAGGACTAAAACAGGACTAAAACATGTCTAAAACCAGGACTGAGCCCAGGTCTAAAACAGGTCTAAAACAGGACTAAAACCAAGACGGATCCCAGGACTAAAACAGGTTTAAGCTGGTCTCTGCTCAGTCCCGGTCTCAGTCCCAATAACCCGACGCACTTCCGGGCCCTTCCCGAGACTCAGTCCCGGGGCTCAGTCCCGGGGCTCAGTCCCGGGGCTCAGTCCCGGGGCTCAGTCCCGGGGCTCAGTCCCGGGGCTCAGTCCCGAGGCTCAGTCCCGAGGCTCAGTCCCGGCTCAGAGCCCGTTGGAAGTCTTCATCACATTTTTCCAAACGTCTTCCTGGTTTGTGACGTAAGCGTGAACAGAGCCTGTAGCTCTGTTTCTGTTCATGGAATTTATATGGACAAAATATGACAACAATAAGACAAAAAAATAAAAAATTTGAATCTAATAAAAACTGAGAAATTAAGAAACGATTTAACTTTTTTTCTGTCATATTGCCAAGCCCCACTACGATCTCATTCCCAGTCCAGCCCAGTCAAACCACAGAGCACCTACTTGGTAAACACAACAGTGAATCTGAATGTCAAGTATCGGCTGTG